GTCGAGTGAATTCTGGCACCACAGAAGACTGATATAGTCTTCAATCCTAAGGCAGGGTCACATTTTGCTCACAAGGCAAATGCTTTGAAGACACTAAGCTCTGCCAGGGGTCTGGACTTTGATGAGCCAGCTCACCAGGCAGAATTTTAGGCTTACTACTGCCTCTGAGGGAGAAGAAAGGTGATCCCTCACTAACCACCCCAATATTTCTGACATAATTTTGTCCTGGAACAGTTGTTTATTCTGGATGTTGAGCAGACTTATGCTTGAGCTGGCTTTCCAACCTAATGGCAAGAGAGAGAGAATGGACTGGGAAAGGGTGGCAGGAGTTCTGTTGGCTCACCACACATGGGGAAGAGGCCAAGTCTGAGTGTTCTTCGTGTAATCTTTGTGCATCCTGTATGAACTCATGCCTTCCTTCTGTTTGGAAATGGAAACACTGAGGCAGAGCGGTTCTTTATCTCCCAGATTAGGGACACATAGCCACTTTGCTCCATAAATGAGCTAATAGAAACAGATTCAAAATGCTGACTCCAACTCAAGAGTTCTTATACAATGTAATCACTCTCTAAGGTAGTGTGACTACAGTTATAATAATCCTGCCTTTTGGTGAATCATTTTGGCATAGGTAATTTGTACCTCCCTATTATGAGAACCAAAGGGTATATTTATTTTCTCTCTTGAGAAGGCTGCTCTGCTCCCGCTATTCTTCTCAAGGGAGGCCAGCCTCCGATTACCAAAGCATCACTGAGAACTCAAAGAGACTCCCAAAATTAAAATGTCTATGTAGGGCTCCAGAGAGAAAAAAATCATGTCCTTTCTTGGGAATTCCAATTGCCTGGGACTAGGTTACTTCTGTGGGGCTGCCTACCCAGGGTACCCTGGGTATTTGGAAGGTGGTGGGACAGTGATTAATGAGATTAGAGCAAGCAGATCATGCCTGAAGGAGGAAGAAGAGTCCATTGCTAATGTCCTTGTTAAGTAACAATTGTATAAATAATAGATTTGGGTTTCCTTCCCCAGAGAGAAGTCCACTGCAGGTGTTTTATGGGGTTTTAGAGCTCTTATCAGTGGATAATCAACCTTCAGGAACTCTGTTTGATTATCCAAATACTTCATGACTTCAAAAGGTCAGTGATTTCATCAGTGTGGATATTCCCTCTGTCAGTGAAATCAGAATTTCTCCGAGTTGTTCTCATGAATTGCCTGCTGCTGAAAAGTCATCACCTGTTAGTGATGATGATGATGATGATGATGGTGAGCCTCTTCCAAACACAGGCCTCAAATAATATAAATCATCTGTCACCAGACCTATACTCATAGCCCTCACATCTTGGTAGGACCTGTTTACCTCCAGGTAATGATTCACTGGAAAGAGGGAGAGGCATAAGAAAGAAATAACAGTCCCTGCCTACAAGGAGCTTATCATCTAGCATAGAGCTTCTTAAACCCTTTTTGGAGTTGCATAACTGAAAGTGAGGGGTTGAGAAAAATTTGGCAACAGTAGAAGGTTCTGAACATGCAACGACCAAAAATTAATTCAAAATCTGAGGTGTTTCTGTCAGCGCTTGCTCGAGTTGCGTCGCGCAGCTTCACTGCAGCCTTGGTTCTGAACACAGCATTGATGATTATAAAATGAAAATATTGATCAACTCTGAAAAAGGGTAAAGATGCTCTCTGTCCTGCAGTATCAAATATTCCACTGTGCTTTAATTCTTTATGTAAACATAAACAAGCATATCCACCTCATCAGTACACAAATTGGTTTTCATCTTTAATAAATGATAAAATTATATGTATAGCATATACCCAGGGTTGCATAAAAATTTCTTGGGCAAAAAGGAATTGCAAATAGAAAAAGTTTAAGAAGCCCTCATCTAGCATACATTAAATTTTAAAAATTACAAAGCAACCTCTGATGTACAAGATACTGTAATGTCAGATGAACACCTCAGTGCTTGAGGGATATGAATAATCAGAGTGGGTTACATTGAGTCAAGAGAGGTATTCTGGAGGAAGTAGATTATATGGCATGTCTTATAGGAAATAATGATTATGAACTAGTGGAAGGGAAGTCTCCCTGCCTTAAGTCTTTCTCCAGGCCACTTAGTCCTGCCCATAGATGCTGAAGTGGTTTTCCTAAAGCACAAATGTGAGTGTGTCATTCCTACTCAGTAAACTCCAGTGATGCCCTATTGCTTCCAGTATCAAATATAAACTTCTCCATTTAGCATTCACAGCTCTTCATAATTTGGCCCAGATTACTTTTCCAGCGTTACTCCTTTCATGTACTCTACAGTATAACTGGGCTGACCTTTTTACTCTTACTCATATGTGGCATTCCAGCTCCTATCTCCATGCCTTTACTGGCTGTCTGTCATTCTTGAAATCCACTCTATCCCTACCTTTGCTTCTTACAATCCCTATTTTCCTTCAAGGCAGCTTAAGAGGCTTCTGTGTGAGGGCTTTTCTGGATCCCCCTCAACTGGTAATGAATCTGCCTCAGCATCCCCCAGAAAATTACCTTGCATCTGTAACTGGTCTTCTGACCAAGTCTGAGATGCTTCTGGTATACAGAAGACTCCTAACTGGTGGAGAGAATGCTGAGCCAATGCTGTCTCTCTGTATAGACATTATTGGTGTATATAGATAGAATTGGTGCCAGAGTAGAGAAACTTGTGATTTCAGAGACTCTTGAGGGACAGAAGACCCTTTAAAGATGAGAGATTGAAAGATTTTGGAAACTGCAGTGTTGTAGAGGAGGCTGGCTCTTAGACATGTGCCTGATTTTCATCTTGCCTCCATAGAGACTTTGTTGAGAGAAAATTTACCCTTGGCTAAGATTGGGGCCTTTCTCTTGGTTTGAGCTGTGATTTTATCTTGATCCTAGCAGAAGATCTCATTCACTCTTGTATATTTCCTGGTATGTGCCAATCTGTATAATTCCTGTAATTTGTGTTTGCTGTTTTGCTTGGATAAGTGGGTTTACTCACTATTTGCTATTCATGTGGTCTTTTGTATGACTGGCATTTAGGGGGAAACAGCTAAAATAGTGGGTAAAAGCTAAGGACCACTGTTCCTTACTTAAGAGTAGCCAGGAAAGTAGCTTTCCTTCTGAACCCCTGAACTGTACCCATAGAACAAATATGTTCCAGAGGGGCAGATAGATATAATTCTAGTCCCTTGTGGAGAAAAGAATATCCAGCCTTGTAGTATTCTTGGGGCCTACCTGGCCCAAGCCACCTAACTAGCTTTCTATCAGTACAGGCATGGCTCCTGCATCTCCTCCTCTCTACAGAAGTGGTTCAGATTCTAGAAATTTGTATCCACACCACCTGCAGATCACATATTTGCATTTAGGTAGCCCATATGGACACCCATGCCTGGGCATGCTTATCTTACATATCTGCTTTGTAGATATGTAACAGGGACTGTTTTCACTTTTGTTTTTATATCTCCATCTCTTAGCACAGTGCCTGATAGTAAGTGATTATTAAGTACCAGTTGTTGTTGTTGATGATGATGATGATGATGAAGAAGAAGAAGAAGAAGAGCATTCGGAATAGCATGAATGGCATAAAAAAGCAGGATGTGCATGGCACCTAACATAAAGCTATTTTTTTATAGCAAACATGGTCTGGCTCTCTCTCCAGGAACCACACTGCTACATCTGTTCTGCAGAGTTTCAAGGGGTAACCCTGAGAGGTTGGGGTGTCTCTTTCTCTACTACCATCCACATCAGCTGTGTTCCCTCCATCATTAGGAGCTACTCACACATCTATTCCTACCTATAGTGATAGGAATACATTTTAGTCATCAGTCAATCAATAAAAATGACTGGATTTTCCTCTAGACCACTCCCTAAAACCATAGGCGTTTCACGTTTCACGGAGTCCGGTCCTGGGCCCTCTTCTCTTCTCTGTATTACTTCACTGGGTGATCTCATCAGCTCTTATCGATTTAATTACCATCTGTATGCTGATGATTCTCAAATATCCACATCCTGCCCCAATCCCTCTGCAGATCTCTTACTTCTCCAACTACCTTTCATACCTCTCAAAGTGGATGTCCAGTAGGCATCTTAAACTCAATATATCCAAAATGGAACTTATTATCTTTTCCCCTAAATCCTCCCCCCTCCCTTCTCAGGCCCTCAGGCTCACAGTTTAGGAGTCATCTTGTATTCCTCTGTATCTCTCACCCCCCTCCCCCATATCCAATCTGCTGTTCAAGACCTGACAATTTCACATTTGCAGCATCTCTCAAAAACGCCCCCTTCTCTCCTCTGACACTGCCACCACTCTAGCGCAGGCCCTCATCACCTCACACATGGACTATTGTAATAGCCTGCTGGTGCGTCTGCCTCAAGTCTCTCCCCACTCCAGTCTACTCTCCGTTCAGCCAATGAAGTGATTTTCTCTGATCACATCACCTTCCTACTCAGTAAACTCCAATGGCTTCCTATTGGCTCCGAGATAAAACACAAGCTCTGTTTGAATTTCATAGCCCTTTAACCCTCCTACATTTTCAGTCTTCTTACACCTTAATCCCCAGCGTGTACTCTTTGATCCAGTGACACTGCCCTCCTGACTGTTCTACAAATAAGACACTCCATCTCAGCTCCTGGCATTTTCTCTGACTGTCCCCCATGCCTGAAATGCTGTCCCTCCTCTGCTCTGACTGCTGACCTCCCAGGCTTCCTTGAAGTCCTCAATAAAATTCCACTTCCCACAAGAAGCCTTCCCCAACCCTTCTTAATTCCAGTGCCTTCCCTCTGTTAATTATTTCCTATTTATCCTGTATATAGCTTGCTTTGTATATATTTGTTTGCATGTTGTCTCCCCCATTAGGTTGTAAGCTCCTTGAGGGCAGGGGCTGTCTTTTGCCTCTTTTTTATCCCCAGCACTTAGTACAGTACGTGGCACATAGTAGGCGCTTATCCAATGTTTATTGATTGATTGACCTTGCAGATCGTTAATAATTCTCCATTCTATTTTTAGGCACAAAATGAGCTGATGAACTCGGGTCTGTACCTAGTCCTTCTGCTTCACCTTTATGAGCAGAGGTTTGCTGAACTCATGAGACTGAACTATAACCGAGTGGCAAGAGAGAGGGTAAGTAGAAAGGCCAGTGATGTATAATACAGAGTCATTATTTTTGTAATTGTTTCAGAGGTTATTGCATCACTTAATAAGAGATGCTAAGCCTGTTTCTGGATAATCAGACTCAGTTGTTCCATCATTTGGGTAATCGTTGTTGTTCAGTTGTTTCAGATTCTGTGACCCCACCTGGGTTTTCTTGGCAAAGATCCTGGAGTGGTTTGCCATTTCCTTCTCCAGCTCATTTTACAAATGAGGAAACTGAGGCAAACAGGGTTAAGTGACTTGCTCAGGGTCACCCAGCTAGGAAGTGTCTGAGGCCAGATTTCAATTTAGAAACAGCCTTCCTGACTCCAGGCCCAGTGTTCTGTGCATGATGACACTACCTAGCTTTCCTGGACAATCTACACTCCAGTTGAAAAGTCAATGGTAATCCACAAATGCATGGCAAATGCCTAGTAACTCAATGGTCATCAGTGACATTAATATAAATGACTCTTAAGGGCAAGCTCCCATTTAAAAGCCTGTTCCAAGTACAGGTCCCAAGGTAGATGCTAGATGCTAGGATTGGCATCTATGTTTCTATGTTATCTAAAGTTTCACAAACAGAAAATTACCTGGGAAATGGGGAGACCACTTATTAATGAAGCTATGTGTATCTTGTAGTCTAATGGGAGACAGGAGCCATTTCTTTCTATAATTTTTGCTTTGAGACCCTTCTACCTTTGTAGGTATGTGTACATGTGTGGTTATCTGTGCACACAGGACCTGGCAGATCATGTAGTCCAATTTCAAGGTCACATACCTAGTTAGTGGCACACAGATCCCTTGTTTAGCAAGGTGTCTGGCATGCAATAAGCACTTAATAAATGCTTGTTGATTGACTGACGGGTCTTGGGGTGCCCCTCTGTTGTTTTTTCCACTGTTACATATTGCCACTGTGTGGAAGGAGGCAAACCCGAGTTGAATTGCTGAGTTATTCATATATTCAGCTGCTATTTGTCTTTAGAGGAAGAACTGTTATTGTCTAAGGAAAATGCTATAGCTGGTATCAGGAAAGAGAATGATTAATAAGTTTAGTGATTAGCATCAACTAGCATCCAGCCTGGTTCTGGCAGTGCTGCAGAGAAGTAGGCAGCCTCTGAGGTCCTTCCTATGAAGCCATCATCTAGATTAGTATTCAAACATACACCAAAGCTCCTGTTGTCCAACGTTTTGCCAGTAATCAGAGAGGGGCACAAGGGTCTTAAGCATCATTTAAAACTTCATAAGGCATCTCCCCACTGATGCTGCTGCACTAGGAATGTGAAAGACTAATGGAGTTTGTCCCTAGACAAAGAAAATACCCTTTCCTTGGAGTCACGCATAAAGTAGTAGTATTCAAGGATCTACCTAGTTTTCAAATTTCCAGAATCCTCTTCCCCTGAGGCCTTGAGAAAGTCGACCAGCATTGGTCTCAGGTGGTCCCATATTAGAAAGACATCTAGCATGGGATGGGCACCCTGCGCCATTGACTGTGAGTGGCATTAGATGTGGGTCAGTGGCTCAGTCAGTAGGAATTTAAGTCCTTACAACATGCCAGGCACTCTGCTAAGTGCAGGGGATACAAAGATAGGCAAAATGACATGGTCTTTGCCTTTAGGAAGCTCTTACATTCTAATGGGGGAGAAAACATGCAAATGGCTAAGTATATATAAGTATAAGCTAGGTATATATGTATACAGGTAAATATATACAGAGCAGATGGGAGTTAGTCTGAAAGGAAAAGGAATTAGCCACTGTGGGGGATGAGGAAAGGCCTGCTACAGAAGGTAAGATTTAAGCTGAGTTCTAAAGGAAGCTGAAGAAAGTAAGAGGTAGAAGTGAGGAGCAGAGCATGGAGGACAAGTACAAAGGCATGAGGGCAAGAGATGGAGTTTGGGGATGCTAGGTGGCGCCATAGTGCACATAGCGCTGGGCCTAGAGTCAGGAAGACCTGAGTTCAGGTCCAGTCTTCGTCATTTACTAGCTGTGTGACTCTGGACAAGTCAGTTCATCTCTGTTTGCCTCAGTTTCCTCACCTTTAAAATGGGGACAATAATAGCACCTACCTCCCAGGATTGTTGTGAGGATCCATGGGATAATAACTGTAAAGCACTTAGCATGGTGCCTGGCACGTAAGTGCTATAGAAATGATAGTTATTATTATTATTATTATTATTATTATTATTATTATTATATTTCTTGTTGTTGTTGTTAAGAGACCGCAATGAGACCAGTGTAGCTGAGTCATAGAATACATGGAGGAGAGTAAGGCATAAGAAAACTAGAAAGCTAGGAATGGCCCAGGTTATGAAGAGCTTTAAATGCTAAACAGAAGACTTTATATGTGATCCTGGAGGTAAGAAGGAGTCCCTGGAACTTGCTGAACTGAAGGGGGACAAGCTCACGCTGAGGTGTTAAAAAAATCACCTGGGCAGCTGAGTGGAGAATGGATTAGAATGGGGAGAGATCTGAGGCAGGGGGACCATTAGAAGGCCCTTAGTGTAGTGAAGGTGAGGGCTGAACTAAGGCGGTGGCCGTGTAAATGTGGAGGAGGGGTTGTATGAGAGAGATGCCTTGGTCAGCGATGACCTCCAGGCCCCCCAAACCATATGCACGTCTTCTCTTCTCCTTTGTTTTCACCCTTTTGCCTAAAGCTTGTCAGGTAGCATCATTTCTTGTAGTCTGGGACAATGTAACTGAGCAGTGGGAAGCATGTTTTAAATTCTGTCAGGACCTGAGTGATGGCTGGGTTCTCCAGATTCCTCTGCTGCTCTCTTATTGGAAACATTGGACTGAAAGTATTTGTAATGGGATTCTGCCACCTCCCTACCACCACACTTTTCCTCAATTTTTCTGTATTTTTAAGCTAAAGTCTTCCCCTGAGATATATCTAGCTCCCAATAAAGAAAACGTGTTGAGTTTATGTCACAGTATCAACCCCAGAATCTTTTCCCTTCTCTGATCTATTCTTATCTGTGCTTAACCACTCCTTGATTTTCACTGTGACAGCGTTTCCTAAAAGAGACAGTACAAGAACAGGAAACAATCTTTTGCTAGCTTTTCTGCAGCGTCATTTTCAAGATCCCTCATCTTTTTAAGAATGTTTTACTGCCTGTTGTACTTCAAAGACTTCAGGCTGATGTAGGTTACAGATGGCCCAATCGTCAGAGTGCTGACAGAAGCAACGTTAACCATAGGGATTATAAAGCAAATATGGGGAAAACATTAACCAATGGGACAAACCAAAAGAACTGAATGTGAGATCTTGAGTCTTCTATCTCTGAGGAATCTTAAGGAGAGAGGATTATACAATTCTCTTCCATTCCTACTTCAAATTTATTTAGAAAGTCCCTGAGCAATGACTACAAGTGACCAACCACCCCTCCGTGAGGCAGGGAAATGGAAATGTGAAGTCAAATTGTTTTTGTCAGGTTCACGCTGTGGCTTGAATTAATTCTCCGCATTTCCCCCTAGAAAAATACTCACAACTTGAGGATAAGGCCAAAGAGGCATTAAAGAGTGAAAAATCCCCTTTTATTCCTCCTTATCCACTAGAAACTAGAGAAGTCATCCAAGTTGAGTCTTTACCTTGTTTTTCAGCAAGGAGGCACAGTAATCAGTCAGCATTTATTAAGTGCTAACTAATCTATATCTTTGGGGCTGGTAGGTGGCACAGTAGATAGAGTACCAGGCCTGGAATCAGGAAGACTCATCCTCCCAAGTTCAAATCTGGCCTCAGACTCTTACTAGCTGTGTGATCCTGGGCAAGTCACTTAACCCTGTTTGCCTCAGTTTCCTCATCTGTAAAATGAGCTGGAGAAGGAAATAGCAAATCACTCTTGTGTCTTTATCAAGAAAACCCCAATGGAGGGGCAGCTAGGTGGTGCAGTAGATAGAGTCCCGGCCCTGGAATCAGGAGGACCTGAGTTCAAATCCGGCCTTGGACACTTGACACTTGGTAGCTGTGTGACCCTGGGCAAGTCACTCAACCCCATTGCCTAGCCAAAAAATAAAACAAAAATAAAACCAAAAAACCCAGTGGGGTCACAAAGAGTTAGACATGACTGAAAAATGACTGAACAACAGCTATATTCCAGGAATTGTTCTAAAAGCTGAGGTTACAAAGAAAAAAAGAAAAAACGGGCCCTGTTCACAGGAAGCTTACATTCATGTGTGGGAGATAACATGAATACAAATAAGTATATGTAAGATTCACACAAAGCAGACACAAGAGAGCTTCAAAAGGGAAGGCAGTGAGAGCTGTTTTTCAATATTGAAAGGACTGTCATGTAGAAACAGGGTTATGTTTATTCAGTTTAACTTCATTTGTACTAGGTCCAGTGGGTGGAGGTTACCAGAAAGGCTTATTTGGGCTCAAGGATGAACTTCCTAACAATTTGAGCTGCCCAACAATGGAATATGCTGCCTTATAAAGCAATGATTCTTCTGACATTGGAGGTATTCACATAGGGGCTGCATGACTACTCTTCAGTGATGCTATAGATGAGACTTCTATACTGGGAGGACCAAGTGACCACTATGGTCCTTTTTAATTCTAAGCCCACGAATCCCCAGCCATGATCCAGTAGGGAAAAAGTACCCCACTGGCCTTCCTGTAGAAGCTTCCTAGTGGAATTTTCATAAGAACCACCATCCTGGAAGTCCCCTCTGTTCTCAGCTGGTTTGATAGCTGACTTGTGGCAACTTAGCCCCTTAGTTCCTCCTGTAAGCCCAAGAGACTAAAAGCAATTTCAGGTCATCTCACAACCCCATTAGAGCGAAAAAATAGAAAGAGTGATTGGGCCCAGACAGAATTTACAATTTACTAACTAATTATGCAAAGTGCTACTTACTCTGGATGAAATGTTTTTCCTTCCCATCCCCTATTCTAAGGCACACTCACTATGGACCTTTTAGTGAGTAGGGTATTTGGGGTTTTTGGTTTTTTTTTTTTTACAGTTTTTCCATTCCCATTTTCCTTTTGAGACAAAAAGGCCTCCAAGAGGCCTCTCCAGCAGGACCTCATTGTTGCCCTGGTTGCACAAGGCTTTTTGGGGCCCCTCCTTGTCTCATTTCTTCTAGGAAGTTTTACTGTCCCCGTTACAAATCTGATCTTATTGAAGGTATAGGACACCAGCCAGTGAACATAGGGAGACCAAATCCTTGCCTAGTGGCATAATGGGCTCCTGCTGAGGCTGTGCTGGAGACTCTGTCCCTGATTGTAGTGTGGAAGTGTTATAAACTTAGAACAAAGCCCCAGCAATCCTGGGAACCCCCACAGCCTGCTGCTTCCTGCTAGGAGGAGAAAGCAATGATTCTTTAAAAACTCAGTGCTGAGGCCCTTAGCAATTAATGCACCCTTCACTCCTGCGGCCTATTTAGGCTCTTCTGATTGTCAAAACCTGGTTCTAGGGGTTGAGGTAAGTTTACTTTTCACATTGCCAAATTTAAAAAGTTTGAACAGCAGATGAGCTCAGTTATGAGTGCTTATACCTGTATGTGTGACATTAGGTGGCTCCTAGTTTATGCTGAATTTTAACACTGCCCAAATAGTCTCACCTTATTTACCTTGTCCTCTTGGAAGTGATGTAAGACACATTCTTGGGACTAGAGAATTTTTCATCTGTTCACTAGTGTGCTGGAAAAGAATTCATTTCTTCTTATCTTCTTTCTCATAGTTGGCAAGAAATTACCCACAAACCAGACCGGAAGAAAGTGAAAGTAGGTTTGGGGGTCAGCACTGCTTTGCTTATTGAATGTTTCTCTGTTTCTGTGTTGGGCCTGATGCCATGGAAGGAAGTAATGAACACCACCCAGAGGCAAAAATAACCAAACAAAGCTTGGGAAATTAGATCTAAAGAAAATAATCAGGAAGGCAAGTCTGAGTGCATTAAATGCAGAGCAGATAAGAATTTTACTTGATGCTGAAAACAAGAGAAGAAGCCCATCAAGGGGAAGAGGCTACTGGGGCACAGAAGATGACTTGCTGCCCATCCCTTGACATCTGCATTCACTGTGTGCTGGGCCTTCTCGATTATGTAGTGCCTGGAGAGGCTTCTGGGTTGTGGGAGTGGGTTTCAGATCCTGCAATGAAAGTTGCCTACCCATTAGTTAAGCTCATCACATGCTTGACATTGTGTTGACTTTCTCACAAGCTGAGTTTCTCTTTTTCCATTTGGGTTGGTCAAGTCACTCTTCTGGTCTCCAAGAAAGTGGCACTAGCTTGTGCCCCCCAAGAAGTGACCAACATGCTGGTAGAACCTCTTTCCTAACCCATTTCTTGCCAGTTCTCTGTGAACAAGGAAGATCCAGCAAGGGAAGCTGGACTTAAAGCAGAAGGAAAGTATTTAAGTGGGAAATAAGGAGGAACTTCTTGGCTCCAGTTCATTCATCAGCCTGATGAAGATGCATTTGTGACAGTAACTAAAGTCCCTGCCTGTGATTCGGGAACCACCTGCCCAGTTTTCAAAGAATGTAGGGCAGGCACCTCCCTTCATTCACATGCTTTACTTTATTAAGAAGGACAAGGCCTCATGTTCCGATTGGACTTGTCACTAGCACTCTGGACCAAAGTCGTCAAGATTATCTCTTTGGGACATCAGTTACTTGCCTCTGGTGTAACCAAATAGAGTGTCCTTCCTCCCCAGCTCCCTGGCTAACCAAGGAGGAAGAGGGAGAAACATTCCTGTGGATAGGCCCTCCCAAACCCCCAGCATTGTTTCCCTCAGCAAAAACAGAAGGCTTGCTCTTGTTTGCCTCTTGGCAGAAGGAGTGCAGGGAAGTGAACACACGAGATAGGTATTTCAAATACATTTCTCCACACGCACACACATCATTCTTAGTCATTTTTTTAAAACCTTCTACGCAGCCATATAGTACTCTGCTCAGATGAGCTCACTCGCTTTTGCCAGTCATGGCACTTTGAATTAAACTCTTTCTGCACAAACACTTGGACAGGAATGACTGCAAAATGAAACTAGCTTGGAGCTTGCACACTGGTCTTTGAGGCTGTTTAGGATGACCGTTTGTTCACCTGTGGCTCCCTCTCTGTAGTAGGGTGGCTGGATGTGCTGACCAAACCGTCCTGTTCAGACTCTGACCCCTCCCACCAGTTTCATTCCTCTCTCTGTCAAGTCTTCATGGAACTCTAGCTGCAATTTATTTATTTAGTTATTTTGGTTGGGTTCAGCTAGATAGGGCTGTAATGACCCCTAGTGTCTACTATGGGTCATCACAGATAGTTGTACTTAGGAATCCTGGGGAGAGGATCAATGCCGAACCTATTCCTGCCCTTTCCTTCTTAACCATGGAAATCAGACACTCTTATTTCTGAGAGGCCATTGTGACCCAATCGCTGAAAATCAGGAGATTAGACCAGAATGCCCCAAGGCCATAGTGCCCACTGGAAACAGTTTATCTGAGGCATAACTGTCCCCTGAAGGTTGGAAATATAACAAATATAACTCGGAATTTCCATCCTTGAAGAAGGGAAGGAGGGGACCTAGTCCAGCTGGGTCTTCATCCACGCTCTCTAATGTTGCTTCTATTGTTATAGAGCCTTCCTCAGAGGCTCCATCTGCTTGGAGGGTTCGTGCCCCTTCTCAGAGAACTGAGTCAGCTTGGCGGCACTAAACATCAGCTAAAATTTGAAGCTAAAGTCTGTTTCTCTTCTCTATAAATGCCGTGAAACTCAGTAAACAGCGGTGGGGGGGAGAAGGGAGACCCCAATACCCCTTCCAACTCCGTCCCCAACAGCATGCCACCTTCTACCACCCTCCAGTTACTACTAAGGTAGCATAAATGGCATACACTGGTGAACTCAGCAAAGAAAAGGGAGTCCGATGCCGCGCCAGGGGATGTGTGCTGCCTCTCTGGATAGATGCAGCTCATCTCTGGCTTCTTTCCCAGAGCCGAATGATCACAACAGCCGATAGCTAAACCATATGCTTCCAGTTCTCCCCAGCTACATGTGCCAGGAATGACTGACCCGGCTGCTAGCTCTGCCTTAAGGTCCGTAGACTCAGTTCAATTAAAGCAGTAATCCATCCATTCTAGCCTGATTCAGACAGGGATACGAGCAAACCAGGTGGGGTCCAAGGCTGCCCAACCTCGGTGGCACTCTTGGGCTGCCTGATAAGGCCTTCTTATTGGGTAGTGCCAATAAGACAGTGCCCTTCCTCTCTTACTCCTAGTTGATGGTGTTGGAGTGAAGAGCCTCACCTCCACCCATGGCCAAGTGGTTTCGCTGCAAACACGACTGTAAGATTGTTACTCTTGGGGAGGGAGCAATGTGTGTGCCCAGATTTGACAACCTTCATATTGTGCCATGACTCAGCTGCTAAGCTGTTCTGGAGAGGTCACTGACGAATGCCTTCCAGCTGGGTACAAGATGATTTTCAGTGACAGCCAAGCCCTGATTGCTGCAGAAAGGAAACAATTATTCTACCACAAATCTGCAGTCCCCTCAGGCAGACCTGGGATGGGCAAGAGCCAGGACAGGACCTTCTCAGCATGTCATAGTCATGTTAACTCAAAAGCAAATGGCTCCAGGCACTTGAGTTTGGGAGCCAGAGACACTGACACGCTCCAGAGGACTTAGAAGCTCTTGGGTTTCCCACCTGTGTTCAATTCCCTTTCCAAGATTCCATGGTCTAAAAGCTAACTTGAGGGTGACCAATAGGACAGTTCCTTTCAACAACTAGAAATTATTTCTAACCAGGCTAGAAGCATCTACTTTAAAAACACATGAGAATGGGACTAGGATAAGACCCCAAATTCCCCACAGAGTAAAATCAACTCAAAACAGTTTGTCCCAAGACCCTCTTTCCTCCCCACATCCCACCTTCCACTTCACCTCCCTCCACCCCATTTGTCCTTATCACTATTGCCTCTTGGTCACTGCATGGTTTCCCTGGACCAAGGAAGTTATTGGCTAGAATCTGAATGTCTAGAAAAAGTCCCCTTGACCTTTTCATTCTCGAAATCTACAATGTCTCAAGATTTGAAAAACAAAAAACAAAATAAACCTGCCTCCAAGGCCAAGGATTTCCAGGTAGGTGAGAACTCAGGGAAAAGAACCAGGGTCCCTTGTAACTTCAACAGAAAGTCCTCTGAAGAAGGAGGCCCACTGGTAGGAATGACTAGTCCTGATTTTCCACAATCCTCAGCTGCTTTATGGAATAACAATGTGGCTGCTGGGCAGGAATGGGCCAGAGGGTAATGAGTGTTTATATGGACATCCTCTTTGTCATCTGACTGAGGCCTTACTAACTGAATCCTTCCAATGCTAGCACGGTGCCTGGCACAGAATAGATGCTTAATAAATGCTAGTTGACTGACTGACTGACCTCAGACCATATAGTCTATGTGGTAGATGTGGCCAGAACTGTCTAAGAGGATCTTCTTTGCTTTCTAGATTCGGATTCAGGAGACGGTAATGAAAACAGTATATTCCAAAGCAACAGCCGGTTCATCTAATGAGGAGGGTGGTCGTGGAGCTCAATGTCAGTGGGGGTCCCCTCTACCCAGCTACCTTCTCTGTGCTCCCCATGTGTGCCTTCTTTCCTCCTTTTTACTGAAACAGAAACCAATGAGTATGCAGTTCACATTTGTACTTTACACCCATCTCTTTCTGGGGTCTGGCTTGAGTATTTTAAAACAGCAACACCAACTAACACTAACTTTGGAATACCATGGTGCAGAGCAGCTAGTGGTGAGCTATCTCCTCATTATCTCCTCCTCCTGCCCAGTCAGTCCCTCCAGCAACTCCCTACACATAGTGGGGACAGCCCAGACAACCCCACGCTGCTCTGCTGTCACCTTTTAAGCTCAGAAGCCCAGGGTCACCTGCTTCCTCACCTTAGGAGGTGGGCTCTCTTCGAGGACACTTAGCTACCCTGGTGGGCACAGTGGGATCTTGGGGTCCTCTCCCGGCACTGCCCATCTACTCCACACTGAATGGAAACCTGGCAGTGGCACAAGCGTTCAGCAAACTGAGTTTATTCACCCACTTTATTTAGTTCTTCTTTCAGTCTCCACAGACTTAGGGCCCAGGCCCCAGAGGGTAGCACAAGTCACCCTCCTGCCTCCTCCTCCTCTGTATTCCACCACCTAAGAGACAAGCGTCTGTAAGGTCAGTGGCCTGAGACAGTCTGGATCCTGGGATAGCTACCACAGCTGGCGGCCAGTCATCAAGTTTCTTAGAGGCCCCAGGGTTCTGTTCACTCTAGAGTGTTTTCATCCTTATCCCTTAAACCTTCCAGATCCTTCCCTTAATACCTTGACTCCCTGTGGTATAAAAGATCTTGACTGGAGAGAACTCCTTGAGATCCCCAAGTCTGAACCACATTTCAAGAAGCTCTCCGGCAAAAGAGAGTCCAAGGAACCAAAACAGACATTGGGCCTGAGCAGAGGCCTGCTGGAGATGTTTGGGCACTGGCCTAGCAGCCTAAGGTATGGTGCCTTCTTTTCTAGGGACAGGGGAAACTTTATCCATGCTCTGCCCTGACCCCAGTGTGCAGGGACATCACCAGGTACATCCATAATCTCCAGCAGCCCTGCCTCTGGGATTGACCTCCCTTGAGATCTGCTAGGTCCTATCACCATGGTTCTAATAGCATGTATTTACTAAGGGCTTACCTGTCCCAGCCACTGTGCTAGGCACCAGGCAGAGAGGAAGGAGGGTGCTAAAAACCAAAATGAAAGTCTCTGCCCTCAGAAAACTTACATTCTATCAGGAGACAGCAGGTAACATATATAACTATATGCAAGACACATAAAGCAGGCACAAGGTAAACTTGGATGGGAAAGCAGAAACAACTGAGGGGGACCAAAAGAAGTCTCATATAGGAGGTGATGCTTGAGTCTTGAAGGAAGCCAAGAGGCAGGGTAAGGAGGAGAGCATTCCAGGCAAAGGGGACAGCCAGTGCAAAGATACAGAGATGGGACATGGAGCATTGTGTGTTAGGGGGATCCATAGTGTGCATGGAGAGATACTGTGAGATATTGAAAAGGGAGGAAGAGACCAAGTAGTGAAGACCTTACATGTCAAATAAAAGTAATAGGGAGCCACTAGATGATTTTCTTTGAATGGGGGATTGGCATGATCAGACACATTGGTGGCTGAGAGGAGTAGGGATTATAGTGGGAAGAGGCTTGAGACAGTGGAAAAGTTAGGCAGCTCTTGCAATAGACCTGTTGAGGTGGTGAGGCTAGTGGCTAGTAGAAGGGGTAAGACATGTGAGAGATATTGATTGTGGAGACGGAAATAAGATTTGGCAAATTAGTAGATATGTAGGGTGAGAATGAGGAATTGAGGATGGCACCAAAATTTTGAACCTTTAAGACTGGGAAATCTGGAAGAGTTTGAGATCTCTAACATACTCATTCAAATGTCCAGTGGGCAGTTGGTGATGTGAAACGAAGTCAGGACACTTGGAGATGGACATACAGATCTGTGAGTTATCTGCGTAGAGTTGATAATTGAACCTATGGGAATTGATGAGATCACCAAATAAAAGTATAGAGAGAAGAGAGGAGCAGGTGCAGGACAGAACTTTGGCTGGGATAGTTAGTGGGCATATCGCAGCTGGTTAAGGAAAGGGAGAGGACAGTCTCACTAAAATGCAGAAGAGAACGTCTGGAAGGACAGGGGAGTTAACAGTGCCAAAAGCTGCAGAGAGGTCAGGAAGGATGCGGATTCAGAAAAGGCCATTGAATTGGTGCTAGGCATTAGGAGGAGGCAGCAAGAGTCCCCATTTCCCAGCATCATAATTTTCTGAGTATGGGCCTGAAGACATGACCTAGGATAAGGAAAAGCCAGAGAAGGTAAAGTGGGGGAGAAACAAGAGAGACAGTGTTTATGTATGCAGTGGGGAGGAAGAGTGTGGAGGGATGGGGAAGAAAGGGGAAAGAGAAAGGAGGGAGGAGAAAAGATTAAATGGAGATAAATATTATAGAGAGAGGGGTGGAAAAGGAGAAGAGATTCTCCTTCACATCTGGCCGAGACCCAGATGTAGAGGGTGTTTCCTCCCAAGTTCCCTCATCCCCATGCTGGCAATTTGGGCTTTCAGCCCCGACTGCCACCTGCTGCCATAGCAACCCCTTTATTCCCCCTCCCCACTGCTGCTCAGAGCACAAGCTTTTATTTTTAAAAGGTACTCAGACTAAAATGTAAGGCCAAAAGGAACCCATGAAAATTTATTTATAATTCTAGTTAAAATTACTCCACAATCAACCTCATTTCTTCTGTCATCTGAATGGCAGAACAAGGTCTGCCATACAATTAATTACAAAGATAGACCTAAAAAACACGAACTTCCTTCAGCCAGACAGCCCATTCTCCCTGAGAACACATGAAAACAAAGTGACATCTTTTGAATATTGATGGGACCTGTTAGCCTCCTAAAATAGGCATGATGGAGGTTGAAGACTTCATTAGGTTGTAAGAGGAATTCTGAAAATCTCGAGCTGGTTATTTTGCACGCAACACAAGACCTTTGGAATGCCATGGGAAACCAAGCTTTTATTTTGAAAATAAACAGGATCATAGGATCTCTAGAACTGGAAAGAACTTCAGAGGCTATATCTGCTCAACCTTATTTTGCAGATGAAGAAGCAGGTTTAAGGAGGATGTGACTTGCTTAAGGTTACACAGCTAGTTAGCATCACAAGTGAGATTTGAACCCAGGTCCTCTGACTCCAGCTAGAGTCAGTGCCCAAGCAGTAGAAGGGAAAACAAAACAAAAAACCTTTGGGCATTTAAAATAGGATTCTGTAAAGTTCATCAGAATTTGAAAAGACTATGTATGGAAAGGGATCCAGACAGCTGAGTCCTTCCGCACTATGTTCCAAGGTTTAGGCCATTTAGTTGGAACTACCTACTATATGGTAGGTGAGCCTTTTGTAAGAATTTTGGAGTTTTTTTTCTACAGAAAAGCGAAGAAAGATGCCTTCTCGGGCATTTTACCTGAGCACCTAGAAACACCATCTTTGCAATTGTCCTGGTCTCAGTGGGGAAAAACCACACAGCAGACTGACTTCAAATATGTATCATTGCCATGAATTATACATCACAGTGTCACAAATGTTCCCTACACAGTTTCCCATTATTTGATGGCTAAAAAAAAGAAAAAAGAAAAAAGAAAAAACCAGCATTGTTCATTAAAGGGCAGTCAGAGCAAGTCTTTTAATTCACATTGCCAGAATTTGGGAGAAGTGAAGAGGTGAAAGAGGCAGAGGGCCCTTGTCACGCCTTTGGTAGCCACTCCCTAGGAATGACAGCATGAGGTGACAGGGGAAGTGGGAGAAAGTACCCAATTGTGAAAGCTAAGGGAATTGAGTGTAATTTTCTGAATTTTTAAAAATTTCAAATGTCCACCTCAAAATAGAGTAAATGTTTGATGTTTCACTCTTCCTTTCCTTCCATCTTCCTTCCCTCTTTCCTTTCCCTTTCCCCTCCTTCCTTCTTTCTTTCTTTCCTTCCTCTTTTCAGAAAACAGAAGTCCTTGTCCAAAGATGTTCTGCTTTTGGTAGGAGCTAATGCAAAGATACACAACTTTTCTTCTGGGAAGTCAAGGCACAAGGGTGAAAACTAAGGCCAGGCAAATCAAGGACATGTGGTCACTTTAGCTTGGAGCCAGTCTCTTCCCCTCTGGCCTCCTCTCTTCTTTCCTTCCTTTTCCTTTCCTTCCTCTTGAGGACTTCATTCAAGGTAGAGTAGCTCCTGCCATGGCAGGGTACAGGTTGGGAGGGAAGAGACCCAGACAGCAGGGACCTTATCCTCCTTGGCTCAGCTAGCACCCCAACCTCAGAAACAATATGGCAGCTACGTCTTAGAGTGAAGGGTTAGAATTCACAGTGGCAATTCATAAGCAGTCACTGTCCTGAGGAGGGCTGCACAGAGAACCTTCATCTTCTGCCCCACTGGCCCTGGGCAGGTTTTGCTTTTTACCTCTCAACTCATCAAGTTAAAACTTGTGGCAAGATCTTTTCAACTGAATGTTCATATCCCCAAAGTGGTGTACTAAGTAGAAAAAGAAGGAGAATGAGGACTTATACATAGAAAGGCCCAGCATAGCTCTGTATGTGATTCCCCCAGCTGCCTTTAAGGCATAGATGAGAATAGGAAGGAATCTTCAAGACATTCTAGCCCAACCTCCTTGTAGATGAGCAGGACCAGAAAAGGGCATCCCCATGGGAAAGAGGGGACAATGATTTTGAATTCTCATCAAGAGTTCTAGAAAGCAGGAGAGAGAAGCAAATAACTCAAAAGTTCATATGAGCTCCAAAAAGGTGGTGTTTTAAAGCTTGATGATGATAATAGCTATCATTTACACATTCAGGTTTACAAGGCACTTTACAAATGTTATCTCATTTAACATGAAGATCAGCCAGTTAGCCCGGTTTAAGAAAACTGATTGGAAGGCACCTAGTTCCACAGGAAACCCTTATCACAACAGAAACAAGGAAGTTCATTTTTCAAGTCTCTTGAAGGTCTTTTATTATTTTTTTTTAAGAAACAATGAAATGTCTTTTTTAAAAAATTAAAAACTACAAAAAAGTGACCGTGTCCTTGAGTCCATGTTCACATTGTCCTGTGCCTGGTAACCAGGCCCAGCTTGAGCCTTCCTGGGATTCTTGTCACTTGCAAATGATACTTTGAAAGATAGTTGGATGGAATCTCCTGAGCTGAGCTGAGCTGAGCTGAGCTGAGCTGAGCTGGCCCCAGCTTCTCTTCTGTAAGCTCTGGAACCATTTCTCTCTGCTCCCCTAGACAGCGTATGTCGGTCACCATGCATGGGTCCAGGGCTCTCATCATGGAACCTTCAACCTCACAGAAACCCAGCTCTGCCCTCTCTGATGCCCCGCTCCAGTCCCTCCCCCAGGACTAGTGGAATTGTTGTCCTCCCCCACCTGCCCACCCCCAAACCTGCCATGAGAGCCAGGAATGGAGAAGATAAGAAACTTCAGTCCCCATGGGGGACTGGTTCCCTAGAGTGAGGCCCTCCCCCGACCTGCAGGAGCTGCCTCCAGCTCAGTTCAGCCCAGCTTGACGGCCAGCTTGGAGCTGATCAAGGTGCCCAGTGCAGCAGTCCCTTCAGTCGGTCTCTCAGCAACCCCCTCCCCCAACCCCTCCCCCAATGTTGGCCACTCCCAGTAGATAGAAATTACTACCTTGGGCTGCTGCTTGGTCATAGGGGCTGTGCCTCATGCCCAGACAGCTCAATCCATTGCTACCCCATCCATCATTCTAACCCTGGGTTCTACAGAGGCCTATGTTCTAGGGGTCAGTGCGCCTCTGGCCAGCAGGCATTCTTCCTAACTTCTCCCCACTTCCCTTCCCCAGGATTCTCCATTCAAACGTGGGAGGGCAAGAGGAGTGGCTCCACCATTTCTAGGGATCAGGCCTACAGAAAATCCAGCAGCGACTGGCCAGATAGAGACGGAGGCCTCCCTCTCCCCTAAAACTTGATACAACTAGAAGGTGACAGTGGGTTTGTGGTAGGGAAGGAGAACAGGAAGGATCAGGGAGACTGGAGGGATAGAGGTCACTTAGAGCTGCCTGAGGAACCAGGAAGAAGGTGCCAAAGACATTGTAGACCAAAGAGGTGACAGTGGGTAAGCAGGGAAGCCAGGACTGTGACTAAAGGGAAAACAGGCACAAAGGATAGGCAAAGCCCCTGGCTCTGAGCAGCAATCTACCCCCACCCCCTTTCCTGCTTCCCTCAGGATTCCACACACCCCTGAGAAGGGGAGCCCACGATGCTGTGTCCAGCAAAATCAACAGCCACCCTCAGCCCAGCTCTCCACTCCTCACTCCACTCCACTCTGCTTGCCCAGAGCCCATCCCAGGTCCCAGAGTCCCTGCTCAGCTCTCCCATTACACAGCTAGACAGGCTGGGCAGCCTCCCACTAATCATCCTTCCCTGGTCCTGCCCTGCCCCCCGCCCAGCCCCACCCCGACACGGCCCCCAAGCTCTAGTCCTGCTGCTCATTCATCTCCATGTCAGACACCAGTATATTCTTCTCAGCCACCTCCCCGGGGCCAGAGGAGCTGCGGCTATAGCGGGCACTCTCAAAGGCCCCTCGGTCAGGATTGCGCCGTCGCTTGTACAAGAGTGCGGCCACAGCCAGGAGGACCAGGAGAGCCACGACTGCCAGCACCGCCACCACCAAGGCCGTCGGGTTCTCCTGGAGCACTGCCCAGAGAGGGGACAAGAAGCCACTCAGCCCTCGGGCCTCAGACCTCCCACCCCCACCCCTTCCTCCTCCTTTCCTCAGAAACCTTGGGGCCCCTTCAGCCAAGGCTGTGCTGAGGGCTACTCAGTTCTTTCCTAGTGTCACCTTCCCATGCCCCCATGGCTTGCAGAGTTTTTGCTCTCCTGGGTCAGGAGAAGAAGCCTTACCATCCATATTCTGCTCACCTGAGGAGGAGAAACTGCCCTCTTTAACTAAAAAAGGTGAAAAAAAAGAAAGACACAGCAAATCAATCAACAGATACTTAGCCCCTGGCCACCTAATTAATACAAGACCCTGACTGTACTGGGCACGATGGAGATTATAAAAAATAAGACGCAGTTTGTTATATCAAGGGGCTTCCAGCCTAGTGGAAGGGACAGGGCATGAACATACTCCCACTGATAACAAGGTGGCATCACCCAAGTGTCAAACACGGAGACTCTTTTTAGGCTCTGGGTTAGATTGGATTGCCAATGGCCTCTCTTGATGAAATTCTATTTTTTTAAGTAGCAGGGACAGTAAATGCTGCTGGACTTGAGAAGAGAGATGGGCATTAGGGCAGAGGAAGAATCATAGTTTGGGAAAGTCATGTCAACAGCTCTCAGCAGCCGTGGCTGCCTCTACTTTCTCCCTGGGGTCTCTAGCCTTAGTGCCCATCTGCAGATTGTGGAGCATGTACACACACACACACACACACACACACACACGCACACACACACACACACACACACACACACCCCTCTACACTTCCAGTGACTGCACTGTGTACAGGGGAGGTGTCTCTATTCAGCTTGGGGAGAGAAAGGAGCTCACTCACCCTGGGGAAGCTTGCAGACAACACCCATGGTGATGTTGGTACACCCTCCAGGACGCCAAAAGCCACTGCTGCTCTGAATCCAGTAGCAGCTGTTGTGACTGAGCATACTGGGTCCCAAGCCTGGGGGACCCCAGTTTGAGTAGTTGACAGCTGTGTTGTCCTGCCAGACCAAAGTGCCCCCTAGGGAGAAAGACCAAATGAAAGCATTAGGAAGTTAGAAATGGGGAGGGGAGGAGAAGAGACAGAGATCTGAGCTGTGGGTCAGAGAGGGCTTAGTTATAACTATAACATAACATAAGAACGCTAAGATATAATACGTTATATGTGATAGGATATACCCTGTCCTATTTTATTATATCATAATAATATAATAAGGTACAGTAAAAATAGAATGGGAAGGAATTGGGATTTGGCCCTTGGACCATTCATATGCCCCCACAGGAACCCAGCCTTGGTCTGATGACTCCTGAACTTGATATCCCAAAACATGACCACAAGAACAGCTCAGGAGCTGTCTTAGAAAAATGCCCCTTAGTGCCATCTCCCTTGCTGCCTGAACTCAGTTTTTGTGGAGTGGAAGGAGATCCATGGTCTCTTGGGGTTTTTTTCCCCTTCATGACTAAGGCATTATACTCGTCTTCATCCTCTGCCCCCAATACTCACCTTTGGGGTTAAAGTTCATGCCTAGCCAGGCTCCTCCACTTTGTCCTTCTGTACTTTGCATGTGTTCCCAGACAAAAACATTCTCCATCTCATCCATGATAGACAGGATGGCACCACCCGCTGGGAAGAGACATGAAGGCAAACTTCTAGTGCCCACCATGGGACTGCTGTGTTCCCAACCCCAACCCCAAAGTCCCTTGCTCAGGTAAGTACTGGCTCAAGAGGCGTAGTAGATCAAGATCATTTTGACAAAGGTCTCTGGGGAATTACCACTGATGGACAAAAGACTCCCAGTGACTGTTTGAAGGTTTAGGGCTAAGAAAGGAGGAGGAGGAGGAGGAGGAAGAGGAGGAGGAGGAAGAAGAGACAGACCATGTGGTGTGGGGGTGGGGGTATGGTATAGCATTGGACTGAGAGACAGGAGACGTGGGTTCTAATCAGAATCACAATATATTAAAGAAGTAGAAGAGATCTTAGAGACCAGCCAGTCCCAGGGTTCTTAACCATTTTTTAAATGTCATTGACTCCTTATGTGGGCAGTCTGGTGAAACCTAGGACTGCTCCTCAGAAAAATGTTTTTAAATGGCTAGGTTGCAATTAGTGCAAATAATTCTGTGAAGTGGTTGCATGTATTTGAATTCACACTTTCTAAGTTATAATTTCATAAAACATGGTGATTGGTTCCAGCCCCATGGAAATATGCAGTTCTAATTCCCCTGGATTCATTATTTGCCCTAATAGGGGCCTGGGTGTGCATAAAATAAAATACATAGAATTACAAATGAAACCAATTACATTGAAATAGTTATCAAAATGTCAAATAAATTCATTGATTCCAGGTTAAGAACCCTTCATCTAGTGCAATTTCTCAGTTGGATTAGCCAACTGGAGCCCAGAGAGAGATAGCTACATAAGGTCACACAGGAAGTAAGCGGAGGAGCTCAATTCCTCTGACTCTGAGTGAAGCTCCCCTTCTACCCCAGAGCCTCTCACTGCTTTTCTACTGATCCACTGTCTGGTTTGCTTTGCCTTCCTCACAGGTGTGTGATTGACATTGACTAAAGGGCCTTAGGGGACCACAATCCAATCAATACAAGCTAATGATTTGATGCGGCTACTAAAAAAGTAAGTATAATTGTAGGCTGCATTATTAATAAATGTAGTAGCCAGAAGAAGGGAGGCCCTCCCCTCATCAGACCCCATCTGGAGTACTGGGTTGAGTCCTGGATTCTGTATCTGACATGCTATGGCATCCAGAAGATGGTGTGGAATCTTGAAACCACATCATACAAGAAACAGCTGAGGGAAGTGGGGTTGTTTATCTTGAAAAAGAGAAGATTTTGGGGCAGCTAGGTGGCAAAGTGGATAGAGCACTGGCCCTGAAGTCAGGAGGACCTGAGTTCAAATCCAGCCTCAGACCAAACACTTGACACTTACTAGCTGTATGACTCTGGGTAAGTCACGTAACCCCAGTTGCCTAAAAAAAAAATTTTTTTTAATTTTTTTAAGTATTTGGGCAGCTGGATGGCACAGTGGATAGAGCATTGGCCCTCAAGTTAGGAGGACCTGAATTCAAATCCGGCCTCAGACCACACACTTGATACTAGCTGTGTGACCTTGGACAAGTCACTTGAACCCCAATTCCAAAAAAAAAAAAGATTTGAGAAGGGGACATGAAAGCTGTCTTCAGTTAGATCTGTTCACAAAGAAACAGACATCCTTATGAGGTGTGTTGAGTTCACCATCATTGGAAGTCTTCCGATGGAGGCTGGATGATGGTGGAGGGGATTCTTAGATGGAGTGAAGTTGCTTTGGAAAATGGTTAGAAACTCAAAATGGCTTTGAGTTTCCATAGGCACTTGTACCCATGTGTTCTTAGGGTATTAGCCAACTCACCTTTCTGACAGCGCTGCAGCGCCTCCTTGTGGCCCAACATCAGCTCCATGTGGAAAGAATAGCAGTGTTCCCGAAAGGGGATCCATGCTGAGTCAGCCAGGGCATGGGGACAGTGGCTCACCTTTCGAGGGAGTTGGAATTCTGCCCGTGGGGACACAGATGGGGGTTGGGAGAAAGAGAGCAAAGAGGATCTGAGTTTCAAGATGTCTGTGGGTGACAAGGCTACCCTGTTCCCCAGGGAATACCCCACCTAGGGATGTGCCTGTTTTTCTCCTCTGCCTTCCCCCCTGCCCCTGCCCCAGCCTCTCCCCTCCTTTGCCCTGTCCTAACACAGACCTTGCCTGACCCCACACACTGCCCCCTGAAGTTTGGTGTCACAGCTGGTCGTTCGCCAGGTCCCATCCACATCCAAGTAGCCGCAGCCCCCGGGCAGCTGGGGCTCTCCATCCTTCCAGTTTGCATAGCTGAGTTCATCTAACACCCATGAGTAACGTCGGGAGCCCTAAATGAGGTGACGCAGAGAGAGAGGGGAATATAGAGAGATGTCAAAGAGACAAGGGAAGGGGATGGTGAGCTAGGTCATAGATCAGGGATTACTGAGAAGTCACGACTTAAAACACTGAGAGCATCAGCTGTCCAATTCAGGGGTCCCCTTTAGGGTGGGGGACATAGGAAACCCCCACCTCCTCCTCTGACAGCCCAATCCAGAGTGGGGTGTGCAGGCTATGGGTAGCCTGGGTCAAGAAGGCCTGAGTGTAAGGGTTGTCCACTTCAGCCAGGCTGGTGTTTAGGCTCTCACAGAGCAGGAGGGCTTCGTGCCAGCGAAGAGGCTTCTGCAGTAGCCGGAAGACACTATTGTGGTAGGAGAGCTCGGTGCCCGGAGCAGGCGGTAAGGCATCTGGAGAGGGGTTCAGTGAAGTATCTGCAAGAGGAGGGAAGCTGAGCATAGTCTTTGCTAGATGAGCCTGGGCCCATCCTGGCCTGGGGTACAGAGGGTGCTGTTGTGAAGGGTACTCACTAGCTGCAGCAAGAAGGCCCTGCACCAAGGATACCCTGTGGGAAAGCTCTGACTAAACGGGTTTCTCCCCTCTATGCTTTTGTCCACATCAGAGGTGTCAAACACAGCCCACCATGTGTGGCACACAACACTCCTGAGTGCTGTCCAAATCAGATTAAGACGTAATTGGGAAATAGGTAACAAAAATAAATTAAAATACAACAAAACATGTGGCTTTCCACTGCAGGGATCCTTAGATATGATTTAGTGGTCCCATTTCTTTTTGAGTTTGACACTAATAGTCCACACCCTTCCTGCTCCTGGAATATTCTCTTCTTCTCTCCCCCTTTTTAAATCCCCTCCATTCTTCGAGACTCAATTGAATTCAACAAACATTCATTAAGTGACTACTATATGCAAGGCACAATGCTAGGACTTGAGTCTGTGAAGTTGAAAAATAAGATAGACCCTGCCCTCAAGGGGGTGAAGGGAGAGTGTAGTTTATTGTGTCTGAAGGGAAGTAACATGAAGAAATATGAGGTTTTAGAAAGGTGATCCAGGGCCACAGCAGTTGAGGACCTTGAGTTCCAGGCTCTGGAGTTTGTATTTAATCACATAGACAATACTGAGCCACTGAATTTTTTCAGTGAAGGAATGTCACTGGACCTTTGCATTAGCTTAAACCCCACCTCCTCCACAAAGACATTCATCTTCATTCATTCATTCATTCCAAAAACATTTATCAGGCATCTGTTGTGCAGAGCATTGTGTTAGACACTGGAAAACATATAAAGGTAACCTATATGCTAAGGTCCTGCCCTCATACAACTTAGAGTCTACAAGAAACCCTTCCTGACCACAAAACAATCTCTCCCTCTTCCTAAGCTCCAGCGGGCATCTGTCTCCATCATCTGGTATTGACCATTTACTACTTTCTTAAATGAGCAATGAAAAGAAGTAGAAGAAAACAATAGAATGGGAAAGACAGGAGATTTCTTCAGGAAAATTAGAGATATCAAGGGAATGTTTCATGCAGAAATGGGCATGATAAAAGACAAAAAATGTAGGAACTTAGCAGAAGTAGAAGATATTAAGAAGATGTGGCAAGAATATACAAAAGAACTGATCTTAACATTAGTCAATGGTGTGGTTACCTCCCTAGAGCCATACACCCTGGAGAATGAAGTCAAACCAGCATTAGGAAACATTGCTAACAATAAGGCTGGTGGAGGTGATGATAGAATTCCAGCTGAGCTATTTAAAATCCTAAAAGATGATGCTGTTGAAGTGCTGCACTCGATATGCCAGCAAATTTGGAGAACTCAATAGTGGCCACTGGATTGGAGAAGATCAGTTTACATCCCAATCCTAAAGAAGGGCAATGCCTAGGAATGTCCAAATTACCAAACAATTGCGCTCATTTCACATGCCAGCAAGGTTATATGCTTAAGATTTTGCAAGCTAGGCTTCAGCAATATGTGACCCAAGAATTACCAGAAGTGCAGGCTGGTTTTTGAAGAGGCAGAGGAACTAGAAACCAAATTGCCAAAACTCACTGGATTATGGAGAAAGCAAAGGAGTTCGTGAAGAACATCTACTTCTGCTTCTACTAAAGCCGTTGTGTGGATCACAACAAATTGTGACAAGTCCTCAAAGAGATGGGAGTACCAGATCGTCTCACATGTCTCCTGAGAACTTGTATGTGGGTCAAGAAGCAATAGTTAGAACTAACCATGAAACAACTGATTGGTTCAAGATTGGGAAAGGAGTACAACAAGGTTGTATATTGTCACTTTATTTATTTAACTTATATGCAGAGTATATCATGCAAAATGCCAGGCTGGATGAATCAAAAGCCAGAATTAAGGTTGCCAAGAGAAATATCAACAATCAATATGCCCATGATACCCACTCTGATGGTAGAAAGAGAAGAATTAAGAAGCCTCTGGGAGAATGTAAAAGCTTGCTTATAGGTTAACATTTAAAACAACTAAGATCATGGCAACTGGTGCCATTACTTCCTAGAAAACAGAGCAAGAAGAAATGGAAGTAGCATCCCATTTTATATTCTTGGGCTCAGCATCACTGTAGGTGGTGACTGCAGCCATAAAATGAAAAGACACACTTGCTCCTTGGAAGGAAAGCTATAGAAAATCTAGACAGCATACTAAAAAGCTGAGACATTACCTTGCCGACAAAGGTTCATATACTCAAAGCTATGGCTTTTCCACTAACAATGTATAGCTGTGGAAGTTGGACCACGAGGAAAGCTGAGTGCTGTCGAATCTGCGCTTTTGAGTTGTGATGCTAGAAAAGACATTTGAGAGTTCCTTGGACAGCAAAGAGATCAAATCAATTAATACCTGAAGAAATTAATTCTTACTATTCATTGGAAGGATAAATACTGAAGCTTATTAAATACTTTGGCCACATAATGAGAGGACAGTACTTGTTGGAAAAGACCCTGATGTTTGGAAAAATTGAAGACAAAAGGAAAAGAAGATAGTAGAGAACGAGATGGATAGAGAGTATCATAGAAACAAGAAACATAGCTTGGACTGACTTTAGGAGACACTGGAGGACAGAAGGGCAGGCCTGGTGTGCTATGGTCCATGGGGTTATGAAGAGTCAGACATGACTGAACAATAATTTATTACTTCACATCAGTTAGCTTTTCAGGTGTGTGTGTCCTACTTCTCTAACCAGACTGTAAGTTCTGTGAGGGCAAGGATACATCATTGTATTCTCCAGAGGGTACAGCACAGTATTGGACACTCAACAGGTGCTCTAAAAAATTCTTTGTTATTAGATGAAAATTCTGACCTCAATGCAATGACCAACTATGATTCCAGATCACTGATAGTGAAACCTGCCATCCACCTCTTGACAGAGAGGTGATGGACTCAAGAGGCAGGATAAGACATTTCTGGACATAGGCAATGAGGGAATTTGTTTTGCTTGACTAAGCGTATATGTTACAAAGGCTTTGTTTTTCTTTTCCCTTTTCCAATGGAGAGGAGGAAAAAGGTGAGTGGGGATATGGATAGGGGAAGGGGAAGGGAAGGGGAGGGAAAAGAAGAAGAAGAGAGGTGAAGGAAATGAATAAGAGGGGGAGGGGAAGGGAAAGAAAAAAGAAGGTCATTGAGACACATTTTTTTAAAATGCAGAGAACAAAGTCCAGAAAGAAGCATAAAAAAGCATGACAGCTTTGAAAGCTAGAGGTTTAATTTACTTTATATTTTAAAAGTAAAGCAAGCTGTACATAATAAAGAGGTGAAGTTTCAAGTACAACTCTCTTTTTTCTGTTGGTGTTTTTCAAGCTAAAAATAAAAATATTTTTCATTAAAAAAATGCTAATTAAAGTTACCTGTGCCCCTCTGGCAGATGAAACCATGTGTCTCTTCTAGGCAATTCCTGTCATCCCAGCGTCCAATGAAATAGGGAGAGGAGCTGTGCCCGATGACAACACAGTTGGTCTGGAAACGGGGGAGAAGGAAGGCCAGGGAGCTCTAGAGGCACACTGCACTTCTGGCCCCCAGCTGGATTGCCAAATTCCCGTTTGGTCCCCTCCACCCCCGAATCAAGGTTCTCCAAAAGGCTGCATTCAGAGCTAAAGGTGGCGTAGGAGCAAGGTCATGGGGAGAAGGGAAGAGAAGAAAAAGAGAATCTTATTTATGAGTGTTTTTGGCAGGGAGTGGAATGGTTCTTACCGGTTTTTCACTACTAGTAGAGTCGCTATGTCCTGAGGGCTCCCCAGGTGCCCAGTTCCCGTAGAGCATAGGTTCTTGCCCCACCCACTGGAACTCCTTCTGGGTAGCATGGAGGCCAATCCAGAGGTCAAAGGTCACATTGAGTAGGCTGGCTGTGACGAAGGCTGCAGACACAGGGAGCAAAGGTAGTGAATGGAGGAGATGGGTTGGAATAGGGATCAGGAAGCAATCATAAGTGATTCCCCCTCCTTGATCATCTCCAGCCTTCCTCCTTGTAACCCTGTGGGTCCCCTACTGGAGACAGGAAGGCCTACTATCATCACCTCTATCTCATTACAAATAGCTAAGGACCCACCATACCCACACCCTTTCCACACAGGGGCAGATGATATAGCTGTGAAGCCCAGAGATTGTGTAATAGTAACACAAAAAGAGCAGCATGAGAGATGATGCCAGGAACAATGACAGAGGTGGTGCCCAAGGTTGATGTAGGGGATGGTACTGAAGTACAATGGGGTGGAATCAATAGTCATATGAAACAAAAAAAGGTGCAAATCACTAATAATTAGAGAAATTCAAATTAAAGCAACTCTAAGGTTCCACCTCATACCCATCAGGTTGGCAAAGTTCACAAAAATGAAAAATGACAAATGTTGGAGAGGCTGTGGAAAAACAGGCACTGTTGGTGGAGCTGTAAATGGGTCTGAAAAGCAATGTGGAATTATTATACCCTTTGACTCAGAATACTAAAGATTTTTTAAAATGAGAGAAAAGACCCATATGTACAAAAATATGTATAGCCAACTCTTTTTGTAGTTTTTGGCAAAGAACTGGAAATTGAAGGATGCTCATCAATTAGGGAATGGCTGAACAAAATATTATATATTAATGTAATAGAACACTATTAGGCTGTAAGGGAATATGCTACAAGACTTGCATGAATTGATGTAGAATAAAGTGAGCAGAAGCAATAGAACAATTTATACCAAGAAAAATGTAAAAAGTAAACACTTCTGAAAGACTTAAGAATTCTGATCAGATCAGGTTCTGCAGAACCAGACATACATTTTTGGGCCTGGCCATTATGGGAATTTGTTTTGCTTGATTATGAATGAAGGTTTTGGTTTTCTATTTTTCTTTCTCAATACAGGAGGGAAAGTGGGAAGGAGAGAAAATAAACATTTGCTAATTGAAAAAAAACCCCATTTTGTTTTAAAATACAGTAGGATGGACAGATGTATTTGACCAGTCTTTACCTTGTTCCAGGGGGTTAGCAATAGTGGCCAGCTGGGCTCCCTGCTGTTCACATATATGCTGGGCCTCTGACCACTTAACTCGTTCTGCTGGGTCGTGGCCTTGGATTCGGAAGCACTTGGGACAGAATGGTTGAGTCTTAGACTGCTGCTCCAAGCCCTCACATAAAAGTCAGATCTACAAATTTATTTACCCCACCCTATTGGGATTCCACAATGGCTCAGCCCATCATCTCGCTGTGAATCAAAGCACAAGTTTTTTTGGTTTTGTTTCTACAGATAGGAAGAAAGATAGATAAGGAGTGAAACACTTGGAACTTAAGACATGAATTTCTTCTGCCTATCACTGGAAGACTGTGAAAAACACACACACACACACACACACATACACACACACTGGTTCATACTCTGGCTTTTTTAATGAAATTAAAGATTTCATTGGACCTCCCTCTGGAAGCCCCTTATAATGGCTCCTATAAGTCAAGTCAACAAGCATTTATTAAGTGTCTACTATGTGCTAGGCATTGTTCTAAGCACTCAAGATATAAAGAAAGGAAAAAAAAACAATCCTTGCAGTCAAGAAGCTCACAGTCTAATGAGGGAGACAACATGCAAACAACTTTGTATAAGCAAGTTATATATTCTGGATAATTTAGAAATAATCTCAGAGGGAAGGCACTAAGGTTAAGGAGGACCAAGATTGGGTTCTAGAACTGAGAATTCAAGGAAGCTAGCAGGTGGAGATGAGAAGGAAACAATTTCCAAGCATGGGAGACAGTCAGTGAAAATGCCTAGAGTTGGAGATGGACTATCTTTACCCCTACACAAAGGGGTGAAGAGGTAGATAACTAACTAAGGACATGTATGCCTCATTTTTCACAACAAATGTGTTCCTAGAAAAATTGTGTCTAAGTTCAATGAGTCATAGCATATAGAGCTGGAAGGAAGACCTTAGAGATGAAGTCCAATCTCTTCATTTTACATGCAAGAAAACTGAGGCCAAGAGAAGGAATGTGGCTTGTGTGAAGCAGCTTGCTGAGAGGGGTGAATGATGGGAAGAGAAAGGGAAGGAAATAAACATTTATATAGCACCTACTATGTTCTAGGAACTGTGCTAAGTCTTTACAAATATTATTTCAAGACATATATTACAGTAGAAAGTGCAGCCCAAAGTCTCTGAAGTATAGAGAGCTAGGTTTGAATCCTACCTCTGATAATGACTAGCTGTATGATCATGGACCAGTTGCTTAACTCTCCTAGGCTCAGTTTCCTTATCTGTAAAATGGGTATAATTATACTTACACTATCTTCCATATAGGACTGTTGTGTAGAAATTGTTTGCAAACCTTAAATCACCATAGAAATGGGAGTTTATTATTAATTGTTATTATTCTTTTCCAAGGTAAGGGACAGAACTGGAATTTGAACATAGGTCCTCAGACTTCACTGTTTTGTTTTGTTTTGTTTTTAGAATATCCAATCCTGGGGCAGCTAGGTGGTACCCTGAATAGAGCACCAGCCCTGAAGTCAGGAAGACCTGAGTTCAAATCCAGCCTCAGACCAAACACTTGACATTTACTAGCTGTGTGACCCTAGGCAAGTCACTTAACCCCAAATGCCTCAAAAAAAAAGAATATCCAATCCTATTCATTTTAGATGAGTTTTCAGAGGCAGCAGTTCTTGACACTTTAATTTGTCTCCCTCCATCCTGATACCTGGTTCTGTCAAGCAGTGATTAAGTGTAGTTCAGAGGGTTTGGTAATGACTGTAGGAAAGGGGCCAGAGTGTGGCAGACATAGAAACCCTATCATTCGTTCCTGGTCACTCTACTTCCGTGGCACTGTTGTCTCTGACTGTCTTTCTGTTTCTCCAGTGAAAACTGCATCCTACCTTACACTTTATTTCTTTTAAGGAAAGAAAATCACTAATGAAATTGGTCCAGTTCGCTTGGAAGTAAAACGGAGACTGACTTTAAAAAGCACACAATTCCTGGCTTCCCTGGCTTCCTTCAAATCTCAACCTTCTTCAAGGCTGATCCCCCTTAATGTCCTCTCCTGAGATCATCTCCAATTTATCCTCTATATATTTTATTTGTACATGGTTGTTTTCAGATTGTCTCCCCTTAGACTATGTGCTCCTTGGAGGCAGGGACTATTTCTGCCTTTCTCTTAGCACAGGGCCTAGCATATTTATTGTTCAGTCGTTTCAGTCATGTCTGACTCTTCATGACCCCATTTGGGGTTTTCCTGGCAAAGATACAGGAATGGTTTGCCATTTTCTTCTCCATTTCATTTTACAGATGAGGACACTGAGGCAAACAGGCTTAAGTGACTTGCCCAGGGTCACACAGCTAGTAAGGGTCTGAGATTAGATTTAAACTCAGGTCTTCAAGACTACAGGCCGAGTTCTCTATGCAATGAGACACCTAGCTGCCCACCTAGTACAGAGTAGGCATTAATAAATGCTTTTTGACTTAGTATCATTTCTTTATCATTTATTATATATCTCTGAAACTTCTTTGGGAAACTTTATACATAATAATCCTAATGTTCCAGGGGGTTTTCATCACAACACTGGATTTAGAAAAAGAAGACCTGGGTTTGAATCCTGGCTCTATCTGCTACTGATTGCCCTGTGACTTTGAGCAAGTCATTTCCCTTTTCTGGGTCTCAATTTCTTCCCCTCTAACATTAAGTGGAGTTGGACAAGAAGGTCTCTGAGATTACTTCCAGCTCTGAAATTCTGCTCTGTGAATTCTGTTCTACTCATGGAAAATGTCCTATTAGGTTATTTTGAAGGGAGACAAACCTGTCCTATTCATAAATAAGCATTTAAATACCTGAGGAGAAGAAGGGTTCTTGTTACTTAAAGGAAAACTATGGGGAATATTCTCTCCTAAAGCAGAGAACCCCTTCTGTAAAGTGAATAATCACCCCTTAAATCATCTGTTTGAAATCCTCACATTTGTATATGCCTAAAGGTGCCTAGAGGTCACATATAAAAAATAACCATGAACCCAGAAGTAAATGAAATCAGTCTCTGAATCTTGCAAGTCTCAAAAAGCTTTGCACAATTTCCTCTGTATGAGAGGCCGGAGCCACCCTGAGGCTTTTACTCAGTCCACTGTATGAAGAATAAAGTCATAGATGAGAATTGGCACAGATATCCTGATTGAAGGGTGGGGGAGAAACAAGAACTATCAGATTTTCAGAAAATGGGGTCATTTAGTTTGGGGGCAAACAGCCCTCCAGGCCTTGAAACTCACTGGAGGTAAATCATGACTGAGGTTCATGATAACCACTTCAAGGCTCTAAATAAAGGTTGAATTATATTCATTATTCTGTTTAAGAGCCCAAAGAAGTACGTAATACATGTTGGAAAGATACCATCAAAAGAACAATTAAAATGTTTCATTTTTGTATTTATTGGAACTAATTTTTTTTTAAACTAAAGGGAAGGCCACAAGATACAGTGGGATCTCTGAGAGTCAGAAGACACAGGTTCAAGTCTCAGCTTTGACAATGTCTTACTGTGTGCCTTTGAGCAAATCAAATTCCCTCTTTAGCCTCAATTTCCTCAGTCCTTTTCTGGCCACCAGCTCCCTCTGCTCTGGACATCATCTCAACCTCTCCCCCACAGGAACCTTGGACCCTGCCCCTGGATGTACCTTAGACCCTGATAGGTGAATTTTGGCTTTCTTTTGCCCAGAATCAAACCCTCACCTGCTTTCCTGGCCATCAGTCCCAAACTACGCCATCATATGTGTACTCTTCAATTCGCCACTTTAACCAGCCATTCTGTGTTGTCTTCCCCCATTAGAACGTAAGCTCTTGGAGGGCAAGCTCTTGCTTCCTTGTATTTGTACTTAGTACAGTGCCTAGATTCTAGGCATAAATCCCCTTAATTAAAGGATTTGTTCTGTGAAGTTTGAATTCAGTCAAAGGGCTGCACTTGAGGACCTAAGGGCCACGTGTGGCCTCAAGGTTCCACACCTGTTGGCCCAGAACATAGTAAGCAGTTGAAAAATGCTTTTTTCTATCTAGCAGCAACATGAGGGGGCTAGAGCATATGTTCTCTATGGTCCCTTCCAGCTCTAGAATTCTGTTTTACAAAGCTTAGATGGGTTGCCCTGATGCTCAAGGATAAATGAGGTGTTACTCTATTGGGATATCATGAAGGGAGACACAATATTCAAGACAAGCAGCTGAGCTGTTAAGGAGAATACAGAAGGACACTTACAACATTGTCACTAGACACAGACCGTATACACTTCCATTTTCTCTTTCATTGATCACCACTCCCTTCATTTTCCCCCCACCCCCCACATACCCCCATGCTTTCTTCCTACCATGTTGATGAACTGGTTCCAGCCAGTGGGACAGCCGCCAGGGAGGAGGGAGAGAGGCGGGTCCAGGGGAGGCTTCTCACTGGTGTTATTGCTGCGTTTACAGATGTATGGCAAGGCTGTCAGACACCTCTGGTCTCCCCAGTCCTCTGTGGAGAGGGCAGGGGTAGTCACCTTCAGGATGAGATAGTAACTAAACTAATAACTAAATTAGGAATTCAAAACTAATCCGCATCCTTCTCGGTGAGATAAGGATTGTAATTGGTGATCCGTCTCTTGTGTTCGGTTCTGAGCTTTACTAAGTCGTTCCTCCCCAGTCTGTCCCTGGCACTAAAAGGAATCCCTAGAGTTATGGCTGCCTCCTTCCTGCCCATCCCCTAAGCTCTAGCCCTTTCCATCCCTCCCTGAAGCTTCAACATCCTCACCCTCTTCAGCTCTCACCTCGACTGGCTGTTACATAAACACATTTCTTGTCCTTGCCAAAGGGCCGTGGTTTCCCTGGTGCCCAGGAGATGAAATTTACGATGGATTTGTCTGTCCATCTGAAATAGCACCAGAAGGGCAGAGTTGGCCTCAAAGAGAGACACATTCCTTTTCCCAGGAAGAGGGAAAATAAGAGGCATTATCCTATGTGCTGTCACGAGGGAACAAGATGATGGGGAGAGGGACCAGTGCCAGGTACGAGGAGGGGTTGGTAACTCCAGAGTCTAACTCAATCAGTGTCCTCTATGTCTCTAGGCAAGGTAGACTAGTCTTCTTTGGGCCTTTATTTCTCCAAATGGAAAAGAAGGCCAATATTGGCAGAGGGGTGAATGGAAAGGCCATCCAAGGGAGCTAGGAGGATATCTGTATAACTCCAGTATTTCTTCCTCAGGCTCCTCACAATGTTAGCTGGATGATTCACTTGACCTCATTTTTCCTGAAGGCAGAATGGAGCTATAGGAAGCATGCTATTTTGGAGTGAGAGGCCCAGGATTCAAATCCCAGACTCTACTACTATATACTATCTGTGTCACCTTAGTGACACTTTCTTAGTGACACTTAGTTTACACTTTCTGGGCCTCAGTTTCCACTTCTGTAAAATCAGGGGGTTGTACTAGATAACCTGTAAGTTTGCTTCTAGCTCGAAGTGTATGATAATGTAATGGTAAGCCCCTTCAGCCTGCGAGACCTTAGACAGCAGGCCCCAGAGCATGTGAGAGTCACCTCACACGGCAACACATACCAAGACACACAAGACTTGGACACTCATTTTTTGTTGTTCTTGTCAGTTGTGTCTGACTCTTCATGACCCCAACTGGAGTTTTCTTGGCAGACATACCAGAGTGGTTTGCCATTTCCTTCTCTGGCTCATTTTACAGATGAGGAAACTGAGGCAGACAGGTTAAGTGACTTGCCCAGGGTCACACAGCCTGCAAGTGTCTGAGACTAGATTTGAACTTGGGTCTTCCTGACTCCAGGCCTTGGCACTCTATCCTCTGCACCACCTAGCTGCCCCTTGGACACCCGTACACAAGGGCAATTGCACATATCAATCACCTCTAGGGTCAGCACTCCCACCTGAATCGCCCGTCATTCTCAGAAGTGTGCAGGCCAATCCACCAGTGTTGCTCCTGCCCTCGGGAGAACTGAACAAGGCAAAGGGCAGCAAATCAGGGGAGGGAGGAGGAGAAGGAAGGGGGCAAGTGGGGAGATCTCCCCCATGTCTGCCTTCCTATCCTCTCCCTACCCTGCAATAATAACAACAATATGCGACATGTCCATGGCACTTTAAGGTTTACACATTCCTTTCCTCCCAATAACTTCGGGGGCTAAGGAGGAGAACTATCATGGCCTGCATTCTATATGTCACCCCTTCCCCCAGGGATGTTGGCAAAAGAGCCTGTGGGTCTCACGGCAGGTCCTTCTCATTGACAGAGGCCTTGAAGGAAGCTGGCTGGCCATTCTCAGCTCTCTGCTCAGTCAGTCAACATGAAGTGGCCAAGGTAGGCTATCTGTCTGCAGGGCCACCTGGCTTCTCGGCGGAAGTCTCTTCCAAGGCCACTGCAAACCAAAAGGACCTGCCCCTCCCTGGCACAACCCCCACACCTTACATGAGGAAACCAGCCTCAGAATGGTTTAGGGCTCTGTTCAAAATCAGACAACCAGCAGGTGTGGGAGCTGAGGCTTGAACTCAGGGCTTTTGTCTGCAAGATCAGGGATTTTCCATGACATCGGTCAACAAATAAAACAAAGCCAGAAGCCTTCCCTCTGCCCACTTGAGCCCCTCCCTCCTTCCCTTCTCAGAGACTTGACCGCCACCTTCTGCAGACTGTGTCCTAGGAAGTCCAGCTCCGCTTGGCTGTGCACGGACACCAACTCAGCCTGGAACCACGTGCAAATACGCTGGGCTTGCCCCCAAGTGGAGTGATGCTCAAAGAATTTGTACTCAGCCTCCTGGAAGCGAATCCACTCTTTCCGGCCTGCAAGGAAGTACTGGGTGTGTGGGGGAGGGTGAGCACTAAGGAAGGCAGGGAGGTCAGGCAGGGCTATGAAGGGTGGGCATAGCAGGGTACAGACCAACCAGGGAACTGCACAGGCTTGCCAGACAGAGCAAGGGTATGGGAATAGGGCATCTATGTATCTGTCCATTCTGTGAATTATTGCAAAGTGGGACAAAGATGTGTGTATGAACACCTATTTGTTCTCGACATCTCAAGCACTCCCTTTGGCATAGGAGAAGGGACCTCCAGTTCCCCTGGGGGCAAGGTTGAAGAAAAGGAGATGGAGAGACAGAAATAGAGGACAGACTAAAGTCAGAGAAAGCCTTGGCTAGCTGGACAACATCACGAAGTGGATCATGGGAGCTACGCCCTCCACGGAGCCAAGTATCCTGGCTTACCCTTGTCGCCTCCATCGCTTCCCACCCAACCTTGGTTCCTCGCTCCATCTTCCCGATCATCCCCAATCCCTCTCCCACCCTTGTTCTATATCTTCCATCTTTAGCTGGGGGCGAGAGGGTGAGTCTACCTTGTGGGCTGACATCAGGCTCCTTTACATCAACTCCTGTTGGAACAGAGAAGGGGAGGCTGCAGAGGGGCAGCAGGAGAGAGAGACCTCCAGGAACCCACCCTCAGCCAGCACCCTGATCCCCAGCCATCCTTCCAGGGCTCCTACCAATGCTAACCTTTGGGAAGCTTGCAGATCCAGTCGAGCTGTGTCTCACACTGCATGGCCACCCACTGCAGGGAGGCCAGGTCCAGCACCGCACAGCTCCGGATGTCATCATCGTCATGGCGACTACGGTCAAAATTGTGATAGGAGTACTGGGGAAAGCGATGGGAGGAAAAGTTTGAAAGAAGAAGTGCCCAGGGGACAACCCTTGCTCTGTGTCCTTCCTTCCCTCTGCGCTGCTCTCTGCTGACACGGTTCCCGGGGGGAGGGGGCGGGCAGTGCCTTAAACTAAGATGAAAAATGCCTGGGTCCTGGGCCTGGTTCACTAAGTGTTCTCCCAGTGAATCCCTCAGAAGCACAGATTAAGAGCTGGGAAGAACCTTAGCAGTTATACAGAAAGCACCCAGAGCAGGGAAACAAGGATGGTTAAAAGGTCTTGAATCCATGTCACTTAAGAACTGTTTGAAGGAACTGGGGGTGTTTAGCCTGGAGAGGGGAAGGGGATGGGGAGAAGGGCAAGAGAAGAGTTGTGCTTAACTATCTGAAAGGCTCTCTTGGGGAGGAACATTAGGCTTGCAAAATCAGAAGCAAGGGATGGAAGCTGCAAAGGGGAGAATTTACACTTGATACCAGGGAAATCTTCCTAATCAAACACTTGCCATGTTCCCTCTGCCCCCTGCTCTACACACGCACACAAACACACACACACACACACACACACACACACACGCCTCCTTAATCGATCAATTAATCATTCAGCATTTTTAAGTGCCTACAATACACTGTGCTTTGCAAAGGGAGGCAGGATCTGCTCTCAAAGAACAGAGGGAAATAATATGTAGAAACATAAGTGTCCCTGTGCATATGCACATATTAAAACATATACTATACAAAAATAAATCTATTATATTATATAACATATTATTTGCAATATATAAATAAAGCATATAATATAGAAAATAAATATATAACATTGTTTATAATATATAAGTGTATTATCTAGAACACACATGAACATGTCACGTTATTTATAATATAGAAATATATAAATACAAATCTACAAAATGTACAATATAGAATATATAAAGTTATATATAGAATTTATAAAATATATAAAATTATATAAATACCAAATATATAATTACTAATAAACAAGCAAATACAAAGTGATTTGAGAAGGAAGCCGTACAGGAAAGGACCACCTCATGTAGGAGGTGGTCCTTGAACTGAGCTTTTAAGGACAGAAAGGATTTTGAGAGGTGGAGATGAGGAGGGAAAACATTCCTGGCATGGGGAACAGCCGATGCAAAGGCCTGGAGACCAGAGATGGAATGTTCTATACAAGAAATAGCAAGAAGGACAGTTTGACTGAGTATAGAATGCATAAAGGGAAGTTATAATCAATATAATAAGTCATAAAATAATATATGTTACATATAACATAATACAATATATTGCATATTATGATGTATACACTATATAATTATAACTTATTATATTGTCTATTATAGACATACGTTTAAAAAGTATAATAAGCCTGGAAAAATAAGACTCGGGCTGCAGCCAGATTGTGAACGAGAGCTTTGAATGCCAAAGAAAAGTTTGTCTTTTCTCGCAGAGGGAATGAGAAACCACTGACACTTTTTGAGCACGGGAGTAAGACGGTGAGACCTGGGTACAGGATTAGTAGTTTAACTCTCCATAAGTAGAATGGGACCCTTGGAAGGCAAAGAGTTCCCTCCTCTTGAAGGCCTATCTACAGGTAGAGGCTAGACAACCATATTGTAGTGGGAATTCCTTTTTGGTTACAGGTTAGGCTAGATGCCTACAGAGGTCCTTTCGGACTTGAAGATTCTGTGATTCAGGGTTCAGTTTACAGATCAAGAAACATTCTAGCTACAGGTTTCCTTAACCTTGTCTCCTAAGGAGAAAGGGCCTTGATGCTACACACAAACACACATGTGTACACATGCAAACATATACACACATGTATATACACTCATATGCATATATACAGACATACTCCCATCACCAGAAGGCTTCTTAATTTTCCATTCTCATCCCTCCACCCCTCTTCACTCTTTTCTCCCCCCCCACTCACCCCTAGGCCATCACTCCAGCGCCAGCTTCGCTCAGCTCGGGGGTCTCGTCGGTTCAGACCAATCCAAAACCAATGCTGCTCCTGAATCTCAGGCTCTGACTCACTGCCCACACAGACATCCCCCCGCCCCAGGTCAAATATGGTAGGAAAGGGTAAGAAGTTGAAGGCCCCCAGAAGACCCCCTTCCCTCTGCCCTATGACTTGGCAGAGAAGGATAGCCCTATGGAATGATTCCATTCATCCCCAAATATTTCTCTCTATCCCCTGCTCACCTTCACAAAGGCATGTACATATTAGCATGTAAAACACATGTGGGCATGTCCCTTATTGGCACACCCCACTCAGGCCACATACACTCGCCACAGCCTCTTCACTCCCAGCACTCCACATATACCCCATCACCACCACCACCACCACCAGACTCCTTAATTGTCAGCCAGGGTGACCGTTTCTAGCCAAAAAGAAAACTTTGTATTTAATCTCAGATGAAATGGGAAACCATTGGCACTTTCTGAGCAGGGGTGCAACATGATGAGACTTGGGCTTTAGGAATAGCCCTTGAGCCATCCATGAGTGGAAGGGGCTACCCTGGCAGGTAAAGAGTTCCCAGGGACTCTTCTTGCATGCACATGCATGTAACCAAGCCTACGTGCCCTCAGACCCACAAAGCCTTTGCTCTCTGCCCCCAGGTTCAATACCCAAAGATTTTGTTGAGCATGTTGGATACAAAGTGCTCCTCCTCATAGCTGGCCAGGCTAAGCAGCTGGGCTCCCATCTCTTGGCATGCACTCTGGGCCAAGGGCCAACTCTTCTTGTCTTGTAGTCGGTCTGAGCTGAATACCTTGTTGGGGAGACAGAAGGTGTGTGTGGAGGGAGCAGGGGAAGAAAGCTTCTCGCCACCCCCAATAGCCCCAACTATCCCACTTAGACTCACTTCTCCCTCCTTCCCAGCCCTGGCTCCTACTGTAAGCTAACTGTCTGGTATCCCAACTGAGTGTATTGGACACTATGGCCAAGTCAGGGTTGGGGGGGGTCATTCTCCTCGGGGGAAAAGAATATGAAGAAGTAGAACCTAGCACCCAGACCTATCCCTGAATCCCATGAGAATACCTCCTATCTGCTGTGGACCAGTGGGAAGATCTAGGTTGCTGTCCTGATTCTGCCATTAACTGACTATTTGACCTTAATAATTAATTAACAATTAACTTAATAATTAAGTCCCTTTCCTCTCTGATCCTCAGTTTTCTCCTTTTGAGAGACAGTACAGTATAGTGGATAGAGCTGGAGCCGGGAAGTCTTGAATTCAAATCCTGTCTGTCACACATGCTACCTATATGACTCTAGGGAATTCACTTCACCTCTCTCTCAGGGCCCTAGGGCCTAGAGCTCTAAAGAGCTGCCTAAAATTTAGGTGATTCTAGAGATTATAAATTGCATAGAATGTGCCAACCTACATTAGTAGAGAGCATTTCCTAACCTGAGAGTTCCCTGTATCAGTATAATCACAGGTCCAGTCTCCATCTCTTTCCTTAATGTGGACTAGTTGATCTATAAGATCCCTTCTAAGTCTTCTCTAAGTCTAGGCCATTCTCATTCCTAGATCATGAGACTGGGTCTTTGGCAGAGTAACCAGGTATTAGATTGGTGGTGACCCCCATAACCACTGCTTTCTTATATCATCACTTTTCCATTCCCCAGAAAAGAGCTATCTCTGCCCTTGGCCCATGGGCATTTGACTTCTCTAAGACTCAGTTTCCTTATCAGTAAAATGGGGATAATAATAACACCTATTTCATAGGGTTGTTTATGAAGCTCCATTTCCTACCTCCAGGCATTTTCACTGGCCATCCACCATGCCTGGAAACCCCTCCTTTTTCATCTGTGTCTCCTGACCTACCTGCCTTCCTTCAAGTCCTAGCTAAAATCTTCCCTAATCCCCATTAATACTAATGCCTTCCCCATATGGAAGTGATTGCTGAAAAATCAAAATAAATTAATAAAAAAAAATACTAATGCCTTCCCTTAGTTGGTCATTGCTAATCATTCTGGTACATAGCTTGTTTGCACACAGTTGTTTGTATATTATCTCCTCCATAGTGAGCTCCTTGAGAGCAAGGACTGGTTTGTTTGTTTAGGCTTTCTTTGTATCTCCATCACTTAGCACAGTGCCTGGCACACAGTAGGTACTTAATAAATTCTTGTTGACTGGTTGCTGGCACATAGTAGGTATTTAATAAATGTTTGTTGATTGACTTTTTCGTGTATATAAAGAGTTTTGCAATTCTCATAGTGGTATATAAATGTCCGTTATCGTTATTATTTATTAGGACAGGAGAAGGGGCTGGACATGCCCATAGACCTCTTGCTAAAGAACAGGTCCTTCGGTTTGTTAAGAGGACACAGCACCGCCTGATTGGTCCTCTTGTGTCCCATTGCCTGAAGGCTGTATCGATTGGCCACTGAGCATCGTTATAGTAGGCTATAAGAGCTGTAGGAAGGCTCCACACTTCTCTTTCTTGGCCCAGCTTCTTTTGGGTCAAGTCCAGCACCAGCTCTCCCTTAGACTTCCAGCTACTGAGTAAGGGCTTAGTATTTCCCTACCTGCCCCCCCAGAGCAATGGTTGCTAGAATTTGAGTACTTGGCGGTGAGAACATTTGTTTGCTTGGGTGAGTCTGAGCCTGGACCTTGAGTCTCTGGTGGCTTCTTCTATTTTGTGTTTCTTTCTCAAGTAACTGAACAAACATCCAGAGAAATGGATGTTTCCAGACCCAGTGGTAACCTCGTGGATTTGGGAGGTCAGGACTTCTCAAGTCTGTGTTGGCAGCTCAGAAGGAGCTGCTTCCTGCAACTGTAGCACTTCTCAGGAGAGAAAACAACCACAGTTGACATCATCTTGAACTTGACGAGACTGAATGGCCATGTCTGGCTGGCTGGAAGATCTGGACCCTGTGAGTTGCTTGGACGGAATAGTTCCGAGGTGAATGTGACATATCTGTTCAGAAGTTCCACAAAGTTGTCTTATCTTCCAGGAGAATACAATAGACATGCTTGTTTTATGTTTTAAGCATTGGTTAATGTGTGCATATGAGTTTTGTATGTCTCGGGCACTTCTTTTATGGTGAGGGAAATAAATACCTGTCCTATACCCGATATCTATTTGTGCATTGAATACATGTTCTAGAAGGGGGGAACTGTGCTATCCTTCTCCAGGGAAAGAACTGGTGGAGTCTGGATGCAGATTAAAGCATACTTTTAAACTTTTTCTTTATTATTCTTGTTTTTGGTTTTTTTTCTTTGTTTTCTTTTACAACATGACTAATATGGAAATGTGTTTTATATGAATACATATGTATAACCTATATCAAATTGTTTGCCTTCTAATGTGTGGGGAGGGGAAGAGAGGGAGAAGAAAATTTGCAACTCAAAATTTTTTTTAAATGAAGGTTAAAAAATTTATTCCCTGTAATTGGGAAAAAACAAACTATTAAGAAATAGAAGGGGGAACTCGTTCATCTCTTTTAGGAGAGATCCTAGACGTTATTCATACCTAAGCTTTGTTTTAGAGATTGACCCAGTGATGTGAAGTAGGGAAAGGGGAGCGGAGGAGGGAGGAGAGGCATGACCAGCGAGGGCATAAGAACATGATCATCCCTGACTCTTTGGGGTCAGGCTCCCCTAGGACTGATTTTGGTCCCTGGGAGTCCAGGGCAGGTGAAAGCTAAAGCAAAGACATATGAGGACCAATTAGAACTTGCTATCATCTCAGCAGAGGAAAACACCCGTCTTGACAAGAGCATGCCCATCTCCAGGGAGTCAGGGCATATGTTCCATGAGATTACTCTCACTACATTATCACTAACATCAAAGAAAGATAGCACTGGACAGTCCTGAGTTTGAACTTTCCATCTTTTTTGACCTGGTGTCCTGAACCACTAAATTTGGTCCCTCCTTGGGTTCAGACTTCATGAAAGTACTACCCAAAGTCAGATCTTTGCCAAAGAGCTGACCATGCATACTGGATTCATAGAATGTCAGAGCTGGAAGGGAACTCAGAGTAGAGTGGAAAGATTTTGCCCCAACCCTGGGGCACTTGTCTAGATTGTCCATTAGACATATTTTCCCCTCACCGACCCTTCCTCAACTTCCCCTACCTTATAGCAGTGTCGGAGCTTGAGGTCAGATGCCCAGCCCTGGGGGCAGGAGCCAGTGAGGCTTGGTGTGGGGTCAGGGCCAGGCAGCTCAGGTGTCACTGGGGTACCCAAGTTTTGGCGACAGATATACCGAGCCCGGAATGTGGTGCAGTTCTTCACCTCCCACAGTCCCATGGCACTGCCGGTAGCCAAGGCCACACACCCCCCTCGACTGTAGCCTGAAAAGGGGAGAAGAAAAAATACAGGTACCTTACCGGGTTAACTGACCCTCCCTCCCCTCCTCTCAACTGATCCCCAGATCCCTGGGCCCCCAGGATGTTCCAGGGCTGGAGGATGGGCAAGCCTCTTACTGCTGCAGTAATGCTGCAAGCAGGCATAAGTGGAGCTGTCCACCTGGCAAGAGGAAGGGGAGAGGGCTGGCTATTTGCTGCCTCCCTCCCCTACACTTCCTAAGAGAGTAAAGAAAGGGCTGGCAGAGCAAGGCACAGAGGTGGGAGGAAAAGCAAGTGAGCTTACCGGGCTGGTCCCGGTTCCAGTGGGTATACATAACCTCATCCCCACTAAGCCAGTGAAAGGAGCCTGTCCCATTGATGTCCTGAAGGGCTGTCCAGAAGTATTTGCCATCCCAGCTGTAAATAAGGCTGCTAACATAGGCTTGTTCAAATCTGGGTGTTGGGGAGGAAAAAGAGCACAGAGAGGAGAAAAGACTCAGAAGTCCCCTATCATCAAACTCAGAGCTCAAGGACCGCTCCCTACTTCCCCTGGGTTCGGAATTCTCCTCCTCAGCCCCAGAAGTATCCTCCATCAAGAAGTGATAAAAAGGAGGAGAGAGGCAGCTAGGTGGCACAGTGGATAGAGCACTGGCCCTGGAGTCAGGAGGACCTGTGTTCAAATCTGACCTCAGACACTTACTAGCTGTGTGACCCTGGGCAAGTCACTTAACTGTAATTGCCTCCCAAAAACAGAAAGAAAGAAAGAAAAAGGGAGGACAGAAAAAGGTTTCTTGGTTCTAACACGAATGGGAATGATAATTATTAATGGATTAATAGATGATTCCATGTCTTTCTTTTCTCATCCAGCCTGAAAGGAAAGAAAAACACACAAAAACACTTTCTCTATCCTAGACAGTTTCCCTCATGACTCTTCTCAGACTTGAAGGGGGCTAACCCAACTTGTGGTGGAGTAGGGTGGAATAGGGTGGGGTAGGTGGGGAAGGGTAGGTGCTCAAATTCTCTCTTAAAGTTTCTCCCTGCTCTAAAATCTGACAGTAGAGAAGAAACCAACCACAGGCCCTTGAAACCTCAGCCATGAGCTGGAAGGAACATAGGCAGGGAGGCTGTCAAAATGAATGTTTCATCAGTTTTGTGATCCTGTCTGTCCAGAAATGCATGCACCCTTCCAGGGACCCTGAGATGGCACGGGAAGGGATGGGGCCTGAGGCCAAACACGCCTCTACTTTTGTTTCCACTCAGTAGAAGCCTGGGCCTTGGCAGGGCTCTGCTCCCATTTAATGACACCAGGAGAATGTCTAGGAGGAGCTGTGGACAGGACACTAGGGACTTGGTCAGCTACGTGGCACAGTGGATAGAATGCCAAGCCTGGAGTCAGGAAGACATATCTTTGTGATTTCAAATTTGGCCTCAGACACTTACTAGCTATATGACTCTGGGCAAGTCATTTAACCCTGTTCACCTCTGTTTCCTCAACTGCAAAATGAGCTACAGAAGGAAATAGCAAACCACTGCAGTGTCTTTGCCAAGAAAACCCCAGATGGGGTCACAAAGAGTCAGACATGACTGAAATGACTAATCGAGTAAGGAAGTCCCAAAGCTCTCCCTCTCTCTCATTATGCCCCGCACCTGTTGGTGATGGTGACCAAGGTAGCACCTTGGTCCATACACATCCGGCGGGCTTCACTGTAGGTGACATAATCTTCTCCCAGCCAATAGCAAGAGGGGCTATGCCAGGTCCAACCCTAATCAGGAAGAGGAAAAAGGCAAGAAAGTTGGGTCTAAAGAAGTGCCTGCTGTTTGTGGCCCTCTTCCTATGGGACATACACAGCACACAGGGAAGGATGGTTAAAGTAGAGTCTGGGCCCCATAAAGCCTTCTCCTGGCCCATGACACTGCCCTGGGGGAGAAGAGAAAAAGGGAAATAGAGCTCTAAATGAAACCCGATGTTAGAGGAACAGGACATCATAGGGAGAGAGGGTCATGAGGTGAAGATGGGAGGCCAGAGAGCAATTCGTAGGTAAGAGTAAGAAACAGAAAATAAAGAGAATAGGAAGGTGACATAGTAAATAGACTGCCAGGCGTGGAATCAGGAAGACTCTTCTTCCTGAGTTCAAAACTAGCCTCAGATACCTACTAGCTGTGCGACCCTGGGCAAGTCACTTAACTCTGTTTGCCTCAGTTTTCTCATCTGTAAAATGAGCTGGAGAAGGAAATGGCAAACCACTCCAGTATCTTTGCCAAGAAAATCCCAAATGGGGTCAACAACAACAACAGGGAATACTGCCTCCTCTCTCTTTGCTGTCTCAGGGGTGGATTGGGGGCTGATAATATGGGACCTTGAGAGGGACCAGGGTAAGTAGGGAAATCACAAAACTATGTAGATGACCTTCTGTTACATGATGGAGTATAAGTGAAGAAAGTGGGGGCCTGATGGTGCAGGGTGCCCTGATGGAGGGGAAGCTATGTGGACAAGCTGGGTGTCTGCTGAGATCTTGAGAGGGGGGCCAGTTAGGAGCTTCCTAGAATCAGAACACTCAGCTCTCCCTATGACTGCCTTAGGTCACCCTGGATGAGAAGGGTTAACATCCTCACTGCACACACATGAAAAAATGAGTCTATAGCCCCAGTTCCAGGGTGGTTTAGTGGCCAAGACAATCTGGCTGTAAGAGTTTAGCAGGATAAGAGTTAAATCTCTCCCCACCCTAGAGTAAAGCTACTAGGGCTAGAAGACTGTGGGTGGGAGAGACCATGGCTAGAGTGCACCCCCTCACTCCTATGGCCCACTTCCCCTCATTCCTGACACTCCCAACACTACATCCTTCTGTTCCACTTCTCACTATCCCAAGTCAGGACCTGTTCTTTGTCTGCAACTTTGAGTGAAGTAGGGAATAGGAAGAGGGATTCTCTCTCTCTCTCTCTTTCTCTCTCTCTCTCTCTCTCTCTCTCTCTCTCTCTCTCTCTCTCTCTCTCTCTCTCTCTCTCTCTCTCATAATGCAAAGAAAAACAGAGTGAGCCGCCAAGCTGGCACTGGGGAGCCAGCTGGGGAGGAATGTGGCCTCTAGTTCCGGCAGATGGAGCCTCCTGTGGCCAAAACCCCACAAAGTTTTCTTTATAAGAGGCCCCAGAGCCTTGGCTGCTGGCTCTCCCTCTTTCTGCATCCCACCCTCCCTCACTCCTCCCCCTTGGCTGGACCCACCCATGGTGATGGGGGAAAGGAGGAGCCTGGAAGACCAGAGACTGGGGATGGGCAGAAATGCTGAAAAGTCCATCTCATCAGTCTGAATTCAGATGGCATTGGCAGGGCCTTTATGTTTGTCCCCAGTGAGAGGGTACTGCCCCCCTCAGTTGTACCTTCTTTGCACCCATCCCCTTCTTCATTCTCTGTGCCTTCTCCCAGTGTGGAAGGAAGAGAGGGCCTCCACAGAAATTAGGGTATCACCTATCAGTCCCCCTGGAGATAGTTACTTGCACTTGAGTGAGTGATGTATAGAAAGAAGACAGAGAAATGAAGGGAAGCCCATAGCCCCAGGGAATATAACCTCTGCCTTTCTTACCCTTGCAATAGTCACCCCTTGTGCATTAGATGTGATCAGAGAGTGGGAATAATCTAGTGAAATGCTACAAGATTCTCTTTCCCCTCCCTCAACCCCCACTTCAAAGACCTTTCCTGAGTTAGATTCATCCCCAGAGGTTACTCCAGGACCATCCTCACCTTGCGGCATCCATGATCTTCCTCTGCTGTCTCCAAGCTAACCTGGCCTGCCTTCTTGCAAATGGATGGCAGTGACTGGTTGCAGGGGCTATCATTCCAGCGTCCCTCCTAGAAGATGGTGGGAGATAGCATACAGCTTAGCCTGATCCTCCACACTTCCTCCAGGCTCTCCCATAGCCCCAGAGGCCCTTGGCTCTAGGCTTGACTGTGTATCCCACTGTACTTAAGAGTACTGTGTGTATACCTTTATCAACTCCTCTATCTGAAGGCCGTTTCCTAGTGGTCAGTATTAGTAGAACCCACAGTATTCTTCCCATTACTTATACAAGAGCCTAGAACCAGGGGTCAAGAGACCTGGGCTTGATTCTGACTCTGCCATTTACTGTGTGGGCCCAGTTCCTAATTCTGTGAGAGATGCGTGTTGGTAGGAGGGGATGGGAGAAGTCTCACCGGTCCCCAGATGGTGACGCAGTCCTCTAGGCTGTCTCGGAAGTTGTTGGGTTCAAAGGGGTGCCAGTGGGTGAACTGTACCAGACTCCCATCTGACCACTCAAAGTTCATCTGCAGCTTCAGGTCATTCAGACCAATCCATAGCTCTTCCACCTCTGCCCCGGTGGGAAGAAGTGAGTCAGGGAGGGAACGGAGGAGCAATGGGGGAGGAATGGGCAATGAAGAGGGTGGGGAGAGTGGTTAGCCCTCTCAGGGACTGGTCACCCTGAAAGAGCATGGAACAGGCAGAGGCCAAATAGGATCCCCATGGACCTCAGTGGAAATTGATCTGAAGTAAATGCCAATGGAATAAAGATGAGCCCAGGCCTGAAAGTGAGGAGATTTGAATGCCACTCTTGGCTGTGCTGCTACCTGTGTGACCTCTGGCAAGTCATAATCCTCTCTCTGGGTTTCAGGCTCCTCTTCTATAACATGAGAGAGTTTGTCTGAGATCCGTCTCTAACATTCTATGGTTCTTAAGTCTATGGTTCTTCCTGGGTTGGGCCAGGGAATGAGATGAAGTAGAGTTTACCCTGATCTGGTAACCAGAGCAGGGATTTGCAACCTTTCTTATGTCATGGACCCCTGTGGAAGTCTGGTAAAGCCTACAGACCCTTTCTTAGAAGCATTTTTAAATGTGTAAAATAAAATAAATAGGATTATAAAGGAAACCAATTATATTGAAATATGGTTATTAAAAGTTAAAAATAAATTTGCAGACTCCACGAAATCTATTAGCTATCCCATGGATACAAGGTTAAGAATCCCTGTTCTATAAGATCCCCTGTCTCCCACCCTGCCTCTGAGGCCCACTTTGCCAAAAAAAAAAAAAGGGGGGGGAAGGGAGAATAAAAGTAGGTCTAGAATGTGTATAGGAATCTTGAGGAATTTCGGATAAGTAGGCTGATGGGAGTAAGGGAGGCAGGGGCAGGGATCTTTGGACATTCAGGATAAGTGGACTGGTGGGTACAGGCGCAGGGATCAGGATGTAGGATGTGTTCAGTAATTCTGGCACATTTGAGATGAGTTGACTAGGGTGCAGGGAAGGGGGAGGTGGTGGACTACTCACCTTGTTTTATCTGCTTGGTGATGAACTCAAGCTCTGCCAGACTGTGGATGCTGAGCAGGTCCCCACCCCCCCTCAGACATGCCTTCTTGGACTCATGCCAGCTCCGTTTCTCTTGCAACAATCGGTAGCAATGGGATTGGAAGGGCCGCCAACTCGGCTCACATTCGACCTTTACACCAGTCCAGGAGTCTGCAAGGACAAAGGAGAGGGAAGCATGTACGCTAGCGCTCCTCATCCCACTCCTGAAGATGGATTGCCAAGATCCTCTCATCACTTAATCAAGAAAACAAAAAAACTCCATAATTATTCCTGAGGGCAGAGACTGTCATTTGCCTCTTTTTGTACCCCCAGCACTTAGCCCAGCACCTGACACATAGTAGGTTCTTCACAAATGTTTGTTTATTGGATAAATGAATGAATGAATGAATCTTTAAAGCCAAGGATGAGAGGCAACAGAGTACACGGGAAATAATAGTTTTGTACTAGCGGCCTGGAATGTACTTCATCCTCCTAAAATCCCTTTCAAAACCATGCTCAAAGAGTATCTTTTACATAAAGCCTTTACTTATCCGGTGATAGTGTCCTATTCCCCACCTCCCAAAATTTACTTTGTATGTATTTGTATACAATCTACGTAGAGCAGAGGGTCTTAGACTTTTTTGTGTCATGGACCCCTTTGGCTGTCTGTACTGTAGTGTGCATAAAGGAGAGTAATGTATAATATAATATCATATGTTATATGATATGATATATAATATAATAATGTTTAATAAAGCTGGAAAGATAGGATGGAGCCAGACTGTGAAGGCCTTCAAATGCTGAACAGAAATTTGCATCTGATCCCAAGTAACAGGGAGTCACTGGGGTCAGAGTCTAATAAGTAAAGGAGTAATACAGTCAGACTTGAGCTAGAGGACTCTCACTTGGATGACCACCCAGAAGAAGGATTGGAGAAGGAAGAGCCTTAAAGAAGACCAGTTCAAGGAAGCCTTCAGAAAAACCTGGAAAGACTTGTATGGTCTGATGCTGAGTGAAGTGAGCAGAACCTGGAGCAGAACTGTACTGTTCTACAGTAACAGCCACGTTGCGCAGTGACTGATAGGGATAGACTTAATCCTTCCCAGCAATGCAAGGCTCTAAGACATCTCCAAAGACCTCATGATGGAAAATGCTATCCACATCCAAAGAAAGAACTATGGAGTTTGAATGCAGATCAAAGCATACTGTTCGCTCTTTTTTTTTTCCTTCTGTTGTGTTTTGTTTCCTTTTTCTGGTGGTTCCTCCTATTGGTTCTAATTCTTACTTACAACATCTATTAATAGGAATGTATATGTATAGCCTGTATAAGATTGAGAGCTGTCTGGGGAGGGAGGGGGAGAAAAATTTAAAACTCAAAAGCTTATGGAAGTGATGGTTGATAACTCAAAATAAATTAATTTTTTAAAAAAGACCAGTTCAAAGGTCACTGCAATAAATACAAGCAAGGAGCAATGAGAGCCTGGACTGGCATGATGGCTGTGTGAGCGGAAAGAAGGGGACAGGTACAAGAGGTGGTGCACAGGCAGAATCAACAAGACTGCGCAGTCTCATTCAAGGAAAACTTATGTCTGCTTCCTGTGAGTCGTGTACGTGCCTCTCTGTGCAGAGCTTCTCCCGTCCCAGCCTCATTTATTAGAATGTCACCTCCTTGAGGGCAGGGACTATGTTGGTCTTCTCTTTGTGGCCCCAGCACTCGGCCCCTGTGGTGCCTGGCATACAGGAAGCACTTAATAGATGCTTGTCGGTTGATTGACATGATAACTGAATGCATTACAGCCAATGAGTTCATCAAGAGTGAGTGTGAACAGAGAAGAGCAGAGGGCCCAGGAGAATAGGAGAAAAAGTATTTCTGTTAAGCACCTTTTTACATACCAGGCACTGTACTAAGCCCTTTCACATATTATCTCATTTTATCCTCCTAACAACCCTGGGAGGTAGGTGTTATTATCATCCCCATTTTACAGATGAGGAAACTGAGGCAAACAAAAGTTGATTTACTTGCCCAGGGTCAAAGTAGAGAATTTACTTAGTACTTCACACCATGTTAAGATATCCCTCCCTGCTAGCCCACCTCCTCCAGGAAGCTTAATTCTAGATTCTAGATTCATTTCAACCCACTCTGATTATTCAATATAACATCTTCTACTTTATAATGCATGCACGTGTGCATGTGTGTGTACATACACACACACACACACACACACACACCACACACACACACACACACACACACAGAAATCCCTCTCCTGACTCTAAGGTCCACTGAAACTGGGACGTTTAAAATTGACTTTAAGTGGTCCCTGTCAGATCAAGATGGGAAGATAAAGGAAGATAAATTCTAAGAAGGCTTATGTTGAGAGGAGAGAGAGATGGGCCTGGTCAGGTTATGGTGAGGCAAGGAGCCTGAGAAAGATAGAAAACAGGAGATTCCCAGCTAGAAACAGAGGCAACCACCCTGCTTCACCCTCTCTCCAGTCCACCCCAGCCCCGAAGCATAGAAAACAGGCAGCTCAAGATTATACAGGCTGAGGTTTTGGGTGTATCCTACAGACAGAATAACTTTGCAAGATCCAGGAATTATCATATGGGGTTGGGGGCTGGGGAGCTTTTCTGATTGGTCAGATATGATGTCATCTTTCCACCTTAATCAGGCTCCTCTCTCTCTCTCTCTCTCTCTCTCTCACACACACACACACACACACACACACACACACACACACACACACACTCCCACTATCTCTCTCTCTCTCTCTCTTCTCTCTCTCTCTCTCTCTCTCTCTCTCTCTCTCTCTCTCTCTCTCATTCCTGACTGGGTCATTCTTTCCTCCCAGTTTCTTTGCATTTAGGTCTGTTTGAAGCAATGGGCAGGGCTTAGGGATGTGAGGTGCTCAGAGGGAGGCAGGTCTCCACTGATGCCTGGAGCATAAGACACCTTGATTGAAAGAAGGAAGGAAGAGACAAGGCAGGAAGAAGCCAAATGAATGGCAAAGGGTGATAAGAAAGACAGAATGTGAAGGGAGGATGAAGAAATAGGATTTCACAAAATCACCTACACTATTTCTCTTGGACAAAATTCAGCAGGTCTGAGGGCTGTGTGCCCAGACGGAGTCAGGACTCTTTGTTGTTGTTCAGTCATTTTCAGTTATGTCCGACCCTTCGTGACTCCATTTGGAGTTTTCTTGGCAAATATACTGAAGGAGTTTGCCATTTCCTTCTCTGGCGCATTCTACAGATGGGGAAACTGAGTTTAAGTGACTTGCCCAGGGTCACACAGCTAGTAAGTGTCTAAGGCTAGATTTGAACTCAGGAAGATGAGTTTTCCTGACTCCAGGCCTAGCACTCTTCCACCCAGTGCCACCTTGTTGCCCCTCTTTTTGGCATCAGTAAAGGGCAACTCACAACCCCCACCCCAACAACAACCCCAGGGTATCCCATTCCACATTTTGGACAACTCTAATTGTTAAGAAGGGGTTTTTTTGTTTCTTTCTTTTGCTGATAACTGGATTTGAATCCTGGCTCTGACAGGATTAACTTTGGTTTTTTGTTTGTTTGTTTGTTTTTAGGTAATTGGGGTTAAGTGACTTGCCCAGGGTCACACAGCTAATAAGTGTCAAGTGTTTGGTCTGAGGCTGGATTTGAACTCAGGTCCTCCTGACTTCAGGGCCGGTGCTCTATCTACTGCACCACCTAGCTGCCCCAGGATTAACTTTGCAACCACATATTATTTAAATTCTAGACAGGCAGTCAGTAAACTTTTATTAAATGCCTACTATGTGCCAGGCACTATCGTAAGTGCTGGGGATACAAAGAAAGGCAAAA